GCCGGGTTGGAGACAGTGAGAACGGGCGGCTTCGTTTTATTGTCGAGAGATTTTCGTGTCGTTCGAATTGTAACGGTGAAAATAACAGGAAAAAAGCAATCCCCGAAGTCGTGGAAGTTTTAAGACGGCGGAGAAGTCGATCGGACTTCGGGAGTCTCGATCTCGATAAAGTCGTATGCAAAAAGTTCTTATACGGATAGAATGCAGTTAAAACGATAATGGTGAATTATTCGCATTATCCCCGGACGGGAGTCGCAAACAACTGCACAACTCTTTTTCGGGGGTTTTATTAAGAGATACTGCGCTTTTATTCGCAAGAAAATGAGTATTTTTCGTGCCACTCAATTTTTAGTGTAAGTACTTTGTTCCTGATACAGGATGATTCGAAATTAGATTAGCCAAAAATGGATACAGATTCTTAATAGAAAATTAGAGCTTATTAGATAAGATGCCTTATCTTTACAGGAGTTACAGCCACCTGAAAATTAGACTCTTAAAGAACCTCTTCCTTTAGGAGTTTTAAGAGAATATTTTTTGTTCTTGAGAATTAGTAGAGCTTTATTTTTTAATTTGATAAGTGGCCTTAACTTTAGAAATTACAGCCCCCTGAAGTTCGCTTCTAAAAATTCTCTGTAAAAATCCCTTATAAGAAGGAGTTTATAAGAAAATTAGAAGGGGTTATTAGATAAGTGGCCTTAATTTTATAGACGAGCAGCTACCTGAAATTTGCTTCTAAAACTTATCTTTTGGATCTCTTACTCTAAGGGGATATTTCTTCCACATAATCTTAAGAAAAAATTAAAAGGGTTGTATTTTTGTTGTATAGCCACTTGAAATTCGCCTCTAATATTCTCTTTAGGAGTCCCACTAATTGAATGAGTCTCATCAGCCACCTAAAATTCGCCTTTATGAGCCTAAGAGGTAGTTTTTCCACAGATTCTAAATAGAAAATTAGGAGGCTCTCTATATTTTGAGCTACAGCCACCAGAAATTCGTCTCTAAAAACCACCCTCTTATAATTTTTTTCATCGATTCAAATAAATCCAAAGTGTGTTGCATTAATCTCACAGCACCCTCCACATCCATTATTAATACAATTCTCTTCCGAAAATGATCGAGAACTCGATACACCAATTTTCCCTATTTCCGAAATTCGGCACCGTGAAACATCATAACATTTCACTTTGTGCCCGATTTATCACCGCTCCAGCGCAGATTCGATTGAAACACGCCGAGATTTTAAAATACAGCCGCCCACCCGTCCCTTAAGCTAAATAGAATCCAGCGATTGAGGGCTTCTCGATGTAACTGGAAACTTTGACTTTAATTGAGACTCAATGTAAATTGAGTCGCGAGATCCGGCTCTAATTTACCCTTTTGCTCGGTCTTATCGGCGTATATACAGAGTGATAAACACTATACAATCGAAAATCTGGATTTTGATCGATGCTATGGTCATCTTAGAGACAATTTAGGTCAGTAACTAACCGTGTATCGATTTCTTGAGGTAAATGAAAATAATCCTTCGTGTGTAATTCGGGCTATTGGCGCAGATGCGACGCAATTATCGGCGGTTTGCGATTTCTGATTACATCGGAAACGTCGAGCCACTTCTGATTATTCAACGGCACGTTTTAGTGCGATCGTAATTCAATACAAGGTGTACATATGTTCCTCTAATATTACCACATTACTGGTTATTATTGGTTATTAATTAGTTTGTTAATTTGATGCGATTCTTTGCTGGTGTAGGTACCTACTGGAGGGAAAAATTAAGCTTCTTAATAGAAGATCTGAATAACCGGTTGGTTAAATTTTATACATAACCAACCGGAAATATCATAATTAATATATTTTTAATGGAACTGTACATGATAACACTCATCAATAAAATCAATATTTTTTTTGTAAGAAAAGATTCAAATGTAGACATTTTTTGTTAGAGAATCTTGTTAGGTGAAAAAACACTGCGCTTCCCTCGCTGCTAATAAACGAGATTCGGCTTGTTTTAACGAATTTCGAAGTCGTTTTTCCGCGGAAATCTCGAGCGAAAGGCCGCCCGGCCCGGGGGCGCTCTCCCGGCTCTGTCGTATTGTTACAAACAAATAAAGTTCGGAACTCAATTAGGTCCTCTATATTCGTTTGCGATTCCCGGAGGAGTATTATTTTATAGAGGCCCGCGTCTGGGAAGATAGAGCGGCCGCGTTGTCGGGATAGAGCGCGGGGAAAAAACCTCGCGTTCTCTATATACCTACATGTTTGTTTGCATCTCGAGCTCATCTCGTGCGGAGGTGAAGGCGATTTTATTTAGGTTGGAAGTTTGTTTTGATTGTTTGCTGTTAACTTTGTTAGAGGATAGAGAATTGGTTGTTTGCTTTTAGAAATTTATTCGACCATCTACTGGGTGGCCCGTTACTGTAATTGGAAAAAGAGCAATGGAAAAATAAATAAGTTAATTTGAGTTTATGTTAAGGAATGTCTTAAAAAATATGCCAAAAGTTTATTTTTCCCCTTCATTATTTGAAGGATTTGAAGGATAAAAAAATCAGAATCGTTTTTTTTTACTTTCAGTTTTTCTCCAGCAACAAAAAAGTTTTAAAAATATAAACAAAAAATTGCTGTGAAATTGCTCACATATTTTGGAATGCCTTGTTGACAAATTTAGTAAATACTCTTCAAAATCTTCAAAATAATATAGTTATTTTACTTGTAAAATTTTAAAAAACTTGCGTCTCAAAAATCGATTAGTATAGTCTATAAGAATAGTCTAAAATTCTATAAAAACTCGACAAATTTACGAACTAAATTTTGTAAGATCATGTAAAACTTGTAAATTATAGAAAATTCATCTAAAAATTTGACTATTTAAAATATAGGTATAAGAAAATTGTCAAATTTTCCTGATGTGAAATATAAAAAAAAAATCTTCACAAAAATCGGCTAGGTATGGGATCAAATAATTTGAAAGCAAATTTACTTGTAATATTATAAACATTCTTATGAAAAATCGACTACATGATTTAGTAAGGTATTTAAAAAATCGTTAAATATCTGGGTACAAAAGGTCTAGGTATATCTAGGTATAAAAAATCGACTATTTTGTTCAAATATTTTTAAGTTTTGTCAAAATTTGCTATTAAAATACTGTGTAAACGCATCTGAAAAATCAATTTTTCCATCAATTTTTCCATCAATTTTTCAATCATTTTTTTATAACTCTTTTAATTAATTATAACTCTTTATTACAAATTGATGATGACCTCTTCTTACTCCAGTACCACCTTGTACAATCCTTACATTTAACTTAAAAAAAACCTATGTAGTAGATAAAGCTTCCGGATCGTATCCATTTGCGCCAAAGCAAAACCGTCGTCACATAAATTAACCGTGCCTCAAAGGCTCTATCCGGTGCAGACATTACACCAGCGGGACGTTTGTTAGCCAGCCGGGCGACCTTGGGCCCTCTTTTCTCCCCTTTCAAGGCTCCCCGGTCCCGGGTCGGGCGTCCCGGCATCGCCAAAGCGAAAATATGGAAATTCCCGGAGCCCGAGACGCGATCCGACTAAAACATCCCATTAGTCTAATTGCAACAACTATCAATTCGCGTCCGGAGCGCGGAGATCGACGTTTTCGGTCCGGATCGGCGAAGAAATTAATTTTCGAATTTTCGTCGCGTGTTCATTATTTCGAATCGGGGGCTCCTTTCTATTATTTATGCCGAATTTGTGAAACGTCAGTTGAATTTATCGTGGCAATCCGTAAAATCGCGCCCGTGCGCTCAGACTGTTAATTATTTTAACTGTTCGAATTAGTTAGCTAATCCTTTGCTTGACTGTAATTAACGTGTCACTAACAATTATTGCTAGTGCGCAGTTGATAAAATAATGGAATTACCGTATTTAATTTTCTATATTTTTAACAAGAATTTAAGCTGCAAATATTTTGAATAAAATAAAATTTCGGATACCATAAAAACATTATGATGTAATTCAAACAGTACTATGATCAAACCTTCTAACGTTGGTTAACCTTGGTTAACTTAAGAATTTTTGAGAGTTTTGATATTGGCAGATGAAGTAATTCAAAGCAGCATACTACGATTTAAAAGCGAAAAAAAAATAGCAGGAAAAATGTCAAATATTAAAAATTTTCGAACAAATATTGTGATTGATGAAATGTACGTGTTTCTTCAAACGGTAAATACTCTTCAAAATGCTATCTTATTCAAATATACCAGAAATAATCACAAATTCTGAAACTATTATGATCAAACATTCTAACGTTGGATAACCTTGGTCAGCTTCAGAATTTTTGAGTTTTGACATTGACAGATGAAGACATAGCAACATACTGGGATTTGAATGCGGAAAAAACACCGGAAAAAATGGCGATTATTAAAATTTTTCAAGCAAACAAAAGGGTATTGTGATTGATGAAATGTTTTTCCGAACGGTAAATTAACATCAAATATTGACCGAACGTATCGAGTTCTATATTTTCCGTTCACGTTCGCCAAAAAAACGATTTTTTCCTCGCCTAATTATTCAAGTGAGTAAATAATTTCGGTTTGTTTCGCGAATCATCGCCGGAAAAAGCTCTCTAAACTATAGCGCTTTTCGTTTTTCCGCGGAAACTTTCCTCGCCCGCTCGTCGGGAAACACCGAAGGTGGCCTTTCGGTCGCGACGCCGTCGAAGGCAACTTTATTTTCTCGCTCGCATAAAAAAAATAAAATTGAATTCGTCCGTTCCATTTTCTCGCTCTGTACGAATTTCGAACAATTTTTCTCCAAATTCTCATAAAACTTTTTATTAAAAAATTATGCGCCTCGCACAAAAAAGCCCCTCTCGGCCGAGACGGCGACTGAATAGGTATTTCAATCTCAATATCCCCGACTCTCCGATAATCTATTATTAAAAGTAATTCAGATATAGCTAATTTAAATTCGGAATTTTCTCTAGATAAATTTGCTACAAAAATGCTAAATGTTTGTTTGTTTCAGGTGCCCCTGTATGTTCTACTTGTAATAGAATCAACTCTAATTGCAGCAGGTGTGGCCGTTCATCCGGGTAAGCATTACAAATCGCCTTAGTTTATTTGCCTTAGTCGCTCGGAGTTTCGGAACTTGTACACTCGCTCAACTTTAACGCCAACTCCGCGATACAATAATATTGTCTAATGTAATATTATTTACCCCGTATTTTAACCAGGTTTGTTTCGACTGCTATTCTCCATATCTCGTTAACTCCATAGCTTGAATATCTGATGTTTTTCTTACAAGTTTTTATCTCCAAAGTAGTTTGGTGTTAAGGGTTGAAATAGCATTCTACATTGTGATAGTAGTCGAGCGGGAAATACCGTGAGGTAAGTATTAATGTCGATGTTTGCCGGAAAATCTAATATTTACTTCGCACTGGCGTTTCCGAAATGTAAATACTAGATACACCGGATTTATAACCGTATCTGAGTTAGGATAATACACCGCAGGATCTCCGGAGGAACGTGTTCGGGAGGTTATTTGTGAAACATATTTAGCGCGGATGTATTACTGGGCCGTAATTTCAGTTTTATGGGGATCCTACATACAGAAAATTCGCTTGTTAAATTAATGATTGGCACTCGACGAGTTTTGTTATTGGCGCGGCAAGTTTTTCGAGATTCTATTAACTCAATTATCCCTTTTCCAATCCCGATTACCCTCTTTAACCGAGTGCTAAAAAGTGCCAATTAAGGGTCTCGAGGGTTATTTAAAAGCTAACGAAGTCGAATCGAACGCAAATAATGAAACATTGGCAAGGTGAAAAAACGAATAATTTATTTCATTATTCCATTTATTTATTTAAATCGGTTTTTCGCTGAATCGGGCGGGCTAATTAATTTTGCGGACTCGCTTTAATTCATAAAGTAAATTCTCTCATTAAAGTGGGCGCAGGATAATTGCTCTATTAGTTGAATTTTTATCGAACTATTTTGCGTTTGAAGCTTAAAATCGATACAGGGTGGTCGTAAAAAACGGAAGGCTAATTCTTCGGAAAAATTGGACCTGTACAGGGTGAGTCACGCGCGGTCAACAGAATGTAGTGTTGCGGGAAATCTTTATAAGAGGAAGGAATTTTAAAAATCTCTTAGCGTTTGCTTATAAAATTTTGTACTAGGTGCCAAATGTGTTTCTACCCTTTTAAAAATCTAAACAATTCAATTAAAGCAGCAGAAATTTTAAAAAATTCTTTTTCTGCTAATATAAAATATCTGATTTAACTTTAGATTTAACTCTGACTTCTAACCTTTTATAGAGGTAAATTTTTGATAGATACGGGTAGGTCCATGATAAATTATACTCATCAGTTATTCATCCATTTCATTAAATACCACCCTGTATAAAATTCAATTTTAATAATCCTTTGTAACAAATCGAAATTTACTGTATGTATGTAGGTACTTTAGCGACTCGACCACAAATTGAACAAACGTAATTCCTCCCTAAACTATTCCGCATCATTTTCGATTGATGCGGCCAAGCAATTGAATATCGAATTGAATATCGACTTTATGAAATCCCTCTTTTCGCCGGGACATGAATTAAAATCCCGTAGGTACTATGAGGGCGGTTCTTCCCGCTTTCCACGTAAATATCGCACCCGAATCGTTCCCGTAACCGCTACGCTCTGTTATCGTTCCACCGCATGTGCCGTCGCCGATTTTCGACGAATTAACATTTATCTATTGCAGAATGCACGACAATCGATGATCGTGTAACGCGCGTGCATTTTCCGCCATCCGGCCAATTGAATTTATTTGTTTTGCGAATTAAAATTAGCGTTTACCGGTAACGAATTTCGCTGTTGTTGGACTCGTTAGCTCCGCGCTATTCGGGACGGTATATGCCTGTTTTTGATGGTTTCGAATGGAGGAAATTCAGCTTGTTTTTAGTCATTTTACTGTAGGAAAATTTTGTGGTTTCGTAAAATTTTTATGCGGTGTCCTCAATAAGGATGGACTGTATAGAAATCTTGGAAATTATGAGAGATAGGGATCGCATAAGTGCAATGGGGAAAAATTAGAGAAGATTCAGAAAAAAATTGGAAAAAAATTGGATTATTCTATTTTTGATTTAAATTATTAGTCTCTTTATTTTTGTTGCTATAATTGAAAGCATTTCTTCACTATCTCGAATAGTTAATAAACTTGAAGATGGCGTTAATCTTTTTTCGTCATAGACTATCGCTTTTATACGGAACTATCATCAACTTTTTTTTTAAATACGCCTCTGATTTTTAGCAAATTTTGAAAGATTTTGTGCTTCCTAAATTCATTTTTTATTACTTTCCTGTTGTATGTTAATTTAGCTGCATAAACCCCCCTTTCGCCTTGAAAAACTCCCTTTAGTTGACGACATAGATTCTCACAGAAGTGCCTTTTAGAAATTGTAAGTTTGAAAAAACTAAAAAACCGCATTCTAAATCAATGTTAACAAATCGCATAAGTTTTTTCGCGCGAGGCAACGCCATCGATTCCCGGTAATTCCGCAGGAAGCATTTTGACGGATTGCCGCGAATCCGGATCGAAGGGAAAGAAAAACGCCATTATTCGCGAAAATAGTCGTACGTCAGCATCGACCCTCACCTGGCCGGCTTGTCGTTGGGGATTCAAGCAACGATATAAATTACGGTCATTTAACTTCGGACTTTCCTTCTTCGTTTTTTCGCGATGCACGCATTCCGGCCCTGATAAATTATGGTAATTCCGGCCATAGAGTGGCTAAGCGCGCACACATCGAGAAATGCATCATAAATCTCCCCGCTCGTGCAACGAATCGATTTAAATCAAGTAAAAATCTTATCCAGCAGAAAGTATTATAAATAAATAAATAAAATAGTGGAAAGGGCTCGTAAATAGGATCGTTCTCGGTCGCATTTTAAACGTTGTTTTGACCTCGACGGCGAAAATAAACGACGGACAAAACGGGCAAAACAACCCGCTTATCTAGTCCTTGTGCACGAGACAAATTTTATACTGGTGCAAGAAATTCGGACGAGAACCGAGTGCTCGGAAAAACGGGGGAATTTCCCCGCTTTATTGCTGTTGCTTTTATTCGAGCAGAACGGAAAGCGAAAATCGCCCGGAATTTTTCCTCTGAACAACCAAAAATTCACGCAAAAAACCAAACGTTTTACTTGCTTCATATTTTATTGGGGAAGATTAAAATTAGACATTTGCGGTTGTAAAAGAATAAACTTAAAATTATGGCGGAGGAAACTTGTACAATTATTGGTGAACGAATCTTATGGAGAAAATAAAGGACATCTATATTTTTGGATCCTTTATTGTCTCTAGTATAATATAGATGATATTTTTACAGCATTAACAATTATGACAAAGCATATTTAATGTAACATTATCCTTTTTTAAGCAGTTAAAAAATATTGAGCAAAATTTCAATCCAATATTTTTATTCAAGATATCATGTAGGTAATTCCTGTATAGCTGTATAGATTTTTCGAAATAATGATTTATCCATTTTCTCTGCGAAATAATCTCGCCTTAAATGTCCTACTTTAAATTTAAATTGTCTAGACGGAACGCAATTTAATTATCCGAACTCGGTTTAATTTCATTCCGATGAAAATTAATCCGTCGAACAATTAACTAGCTGTTTTTAATAATCAATACTCAACTCTTTTTTAATACGCACATTCTTATTTAATACTAATATCTACATATTTATTATGTGCTTATGCGTTGATCTTTTTTAAAAACATTGATAATCTACTCAATACTTAATACCCATCAGCTCTCTTTTAATAGTTAATATACTTTTAATATTCAATACTGAACTTCCTTTAACAACTCAATACTGAATACTCAGCTCTCTTTAAATATTCACTAATGAACTTTCTTTTACTACTCAAATTAATGATTACAAATTAATTTGTTTTGACATCAATATTCAACCCTCTTGATATTCATATAAGCATGCATGCTTATTTTACTCAAAAATTGTCTCTTTTAATACTCAATACTCAACTCTCGTTTAACATTCAATACTGTTATTATTAACGTTTATTATGCCAAAAAATTGTCCATAGGTTGCGAATGCATCGTATTTTCGAAGGTGCACGGCAAAGAGAAAGGATCTTTCAAGAGTCCGGATTTTCCCAAGCCGTACGCCTCGAACATCGATTGCCTGCTATACACCTTCGTCGGCGACGAAGACGAAATCGTCGAGCTGGCCTTCACCGATTTCGACGTGCACAAAACGGCCGACGAGTGAGTATATTATAGATCCTGTCGCCTTTTATTTTATTCCGCCGCCCGGAAAACTCGAGTAGGTATACACCGTATCGGCCGCTCGGGCGAATCGCGGAAGAAAAGATAAATCTCCGCCGGGGGATTAGTCGCAAGGAAGATTTGCGATGAAATAATTAATTGGATTATGAATTTTGGAAGAGGTTTTTTCCGCTCACGCCCGAACGGAAATCTCCGTTTTGGTTCTCTGGAGATTGAAACGCAGGTATTATTTTATCCCGGATTATTAAAATGCCTTAATAAAGGATGCGGTTGTACGGTTGTATTATTAATTGAATTCGCAGATACGGAATCCCATCAATATTCCTTCTTGTGTCTTATTTCTACATCTCAATAAGCAATAAATCGCGACGTTAAGATACAAATTGAATGGAAAGAAAACCGAACGAACAATCGATATACTTAATAAATGTGTCTTACCTCCGGGAAATATCTATCACAACCCATAAGGTTCCTTGAATTATCGGTTACCCGTATGTTCCTCGAAAGCCTTAATAAATAAACGTCACAAACGCTTTTCTTACTCCTTAGATAGAAAGAATTCATTACGTGAATTGAATCCCCGGGAAGCGCAGTGACGTCAAATCGGAAATATCCCATAGAAAAATATTTTATTTCGGTGTATTTATTTTGCTACCAATAAACAAATGTATACAGGGTGTTGCATTGATAAGGGAACAGAGGTGTTTTCGTACAAGAAATCATCGCGTTTTTGTTATATTCAGAAAAAAGAAAACTTCAGACGACTCATGTTTCCTATATTAATTTTTTCTTGATGTACGATATATCCTTAAAGGTACGATACTTGTCGAATAAAAGTGTAATTAGATTAGAGAATACTGAATAAGCGATTTCTAAGATAAAAATAGCGTTAAATTCATCGCGAGATTTATCCCCGTTAGGAATTCCTCACGTGCGCCGGAGTTCCTAAATCTTTCTCGCCAGGAGTAAGTCGTCTAATAACGTACCGTTCGGACGGAAATTTATATCGCCTACCTACGTTCCGCTCTCTTCTTCCTCTATTTTTTGCCGGCGCGCTGGCCTCAAGTGACCAGATATTAGTTTTCGTTCTAACAGAAAACCGGCCGACGTGCCGGCGATACAAATGCGCCGATTTCGCGTCTTCTTCGCTCCATCGGAAGTCGAGGAATCGCCGGATTGATTTTTATGGGATCGCGTGTACGCCGAAAGGGCGGATTAAATATCTGGAAAGCTCGTCGGTTTCCATACAGCTAGATAAAAAAATTTGTTGTACTGATATTTTTCTGTGTTTGGATTATTTCGCAGCTGCATCTCGGGCGATTACTTGAAGGTGTTCATGCATTTGGAGGGTCACAGCGTGAACGAGTATACCCCGTGGGAGAGCGTCCTGTGCGGAGGATACGCCGACATTCCAGCCGTTATTTATTCCTCCGGATCGGTTTTAGTGCTGGCATTCCATTCGGGGGCGCGTACGGCGAACGCCAGCGGGTTCCTGGGGACTTTCAGGTTCTTACAAAAAAGTAGGTATATTATCACAGTAATTTATGAAGTATAAAAAATATTTAGTTTTTGCTTAATAGAAATATGTCTATAATAGTTATTGTTATACAATTATTATTATAGTAGGTACATTTCACTTATTTCAATCAATTCATTCATTCGAATGATTAAGAAATTAACACTACTCAAGTACCTACTCGTACCTATTTGAAATGGCTAAAATATTAACTAAAATAGTTATAAAATTCTTTGAATTTAGAAAAATAATCATCAAGAATTGATTTAGCATAGTGATCAAAAGTATAAGAAATTATTAATAATTGCACAATAGAAATATTTCTACGGATGGTTATATTTAAAAAAATCCTGGCTAATAATTGGATTATTGAATATTTTTTTAACTTATACATTTCATATATTTGATTTAGTAGATGGTGGATGGGTTTTTGTATTAGCTTTTGTTACAATATCCAATATTGCCTGAAAAATAGTGAATCTGGAATGAATATTTTTTGAAATGTAACAATAAATAAACCTTTTTTTATTAGCATGGAGTAGAAAAAAATATGCAGGTATCTGTATATACCTGGAAGGTATTGTCAGTTGGATATTTGAATAAAATTCGCAAAATTGGAGTTGTGGAATAAATGTTATTTTGCAGGATAATTATTTTTTATGATTTATGATTTAAAGCGGTTTTTTTACATTTATTAAAAAAATTAAAATCGAGCCATTATTATATTCTACTGTTTATAACATATGAAGCACAGTAAACCATTTCCATACTCTTACATATTCTTCTATAGCACCATTTTATAATGTATAATAACTCCATAAAAATACGCAATTACTCATTTTTTAGAGCTTTTCCGTACGGACGGTTGGAAATTACCCAGCACATCTTGCGACTACGAATTTTACAGCTCCGACCACTCTCTTCTGCAAGGAAAATTCTACTCTCCCCGATTCCCATCGAGCTATCCCACCAACATTAGATGCACCTACAAATTCCAAGCCAGGTACGTACTAAAACCCTTCGAATACCGCCATTTCGATAAAAATATCGGGACACATTCGTCTCGCGCGTGTTTAACTTTTCCGATTTTCCGAACGCCATCGGGCGCTCGTTTATTTCGCGCGGCGACATTTTAGATAAAAGTCGAACTAATGATAGATCGTACACACAAGACTAATTCACGGTTTGGCACGTCGACGATCCATCATGTTTGAGACCGGCAAACACGGCTCGACGAACCTCTTGCGTTCGAATTCCGTCGAGCTTTCCGGCGAAATAAAAAATTTAAACGCGAAACGAGTTAAATGAGTTTGGAGTTTGTTTTCCGCCCGCATCCGCGCCGGAGATGCCGTACTCTTAAAGGCTCATCGTTTCTCTGTTATACAGAGTGTTTGGTACGAATTTTCCCGTAGGAAAAGGTGCTTAAAGCTTTTGCTGTATTTATTTAATAGTGCTAAGTCAATTTGAATAGTTGGTTTAGCGTTAATGAAGTTAGTTCGTTAAGAATGTTTGAGCTGCTTAATAGGAATTGTTTATTGGAATTGTGCTAAAAATACATTGGAATGATTAAAAATGTCCGGAATACTCCTTATTGAATTGACTAAGTATTTATAAAATAATTAAATATTTACTAGAATAGTTCAAGAACATTAGAATTACGAAATATTCTCATAAAATGATAATAAGAATAATGAGTTACTTTATTAATGAAATGATCAATTCAATCATTCAAATGATTAAATAATTCCAGAATACTCTTAAGTATTTGTTTAGATTGTAATACTTTCCAAAATAGTTGATCATTAAATTTAGAAAAATACTCATGAAATTAATGAAAATAATGACCCAGTTAGTCAACAGAATGACCAAAAAATTCATCCAAATGATTCAAAAATTCCAGAATAATTACTCCTATAATGTGTATGAAATGACCAAAATAATTACAAAATTCTTTGAATCACTAAAATAGTTATAAATTCATTGAATTTAGATAAATACTTTTGAAAAAATACTGTAAAATGACCATTTTAGCCATTCAAAGGATTAAAATATTCCTACAAATGATAAAAAAATACTAAAATACTTTTTAAAATGATACTTCCAAATACTTCTAAAATTAACTGAAATTGCTAACATAGTTACTAAAATGATAGAGATTCAAAAGATATATCTTTTGAATTTACGAATAAATTACTCAGCCTTTGACCTAAAATAATATCTATTCCTTTTCCAATGATTAAAAAATATACCAAAATATTCAGTAATGGATATATTCCATGCATTAGAAATTGAAATTTCTATAAAACTTTTGAGCTTAAAAACTCTTTAAACACTCAATATACTTGCAAATTTATAACATATTACACTTTTTTTAGGTACAAAGAACGAGTTCGCATACTTTTCGAAGAAGTAGCTTTACAAAAAGGTGACATAAGGTAAGAATAGTCCTACTAACCACTCATACAAACAAAACATTAATTACTAACAATCTTTTTATCAAAATTTTCTAATTTTTCAGCTGTTTGAATCGAGCCGACATCGTCCGCGTGTTCGACGGCAGCGCCTCCGCCGATCCCTCCATACGGATCCTCTGCAACGAGAACTCCGGGGCCGAAATCCTCTCCTCCGGCCCTGACTTATTCATCGAATTCATAGCCAATTCCGACCGGCCGGGTCGCGGCTTCAAAGGGAAATATCAATTTCAACGAAGCGATAGCACAGCCGGTAGGTAATCCCAATTAGAGCAACCTGTATCAATGAGCGGGTTAGGTGTAAGCGAATCCCTTATTATCGAGTTGCGGAAAGTGCCCGTGCGCGCTAGCATCGAGCCCGAAGTTATCTCGAGTTGGTGCTTCATAAAGGAGCCCTTTGTACATTAGAAATCAGTAACACCAACTGTTAGGTAACGCTTTTATTTCGAGCTTAAAGCGACAATTAAACGTCGCTTGTCAAAATTAAAAACGTTACTTTTTTCATGTTGTTATAAACGAGCATTAATGTAGGAAAGAAATTCGAAGAAACCAACGATACTAAGGGAAGGGATACGACGAACCTGTGTTTACCTAAATGTACAAATACATAAATAAATAACCAAACCCAGCATGACGAATAAATACATTAACGATAACGACAACATATTAGAATCAACCAGCAAAACCAGGACGTGCGACTGCATAAACTGCTTGGGTAAATCCACCCTAGAAGACATCGACGTCCTGCTGAAGCGCCTCGACATAATCCGAAAATGTTGTCCGATATTCGAACAATGCAACTCCATCAAGCGCAACCCTCTAACCCGCGACCGCTCCAGGTCGAGGATCCCCTTGGCGATCCACCGGCTCAAGAAAGACACCAACCTCTGCAGCCTGTCTTACGTGGAACCCACCAAATCGCACTCCGCCGATAGCATCGACGACGCCTCCGCGTCCTTCTACCGCAACAAGTCGCTGGAGCGCACCAGCATCATCAAGCAGGACGCCCAGAAGGGCGCCAAGAGCGGCAAGAAGGTGACTTTCAGCGAGCTGAACACCGCCAACCGGCCCAAGTTGCACATTGATCTGTGCGACCTGCAGCGCGCCGGAGACGAGGACGACGTGGACGGGCACCTCGACGAGGACCGCAGGATCCTGGAGGATAAGATACACCAGATCAACAATTTGAGGAGGGAGTGGCTGTTGAGAAATTCGAGCGGGGTGATCGATGGGTATAAGGACACGAGTAGGACTTATAGGATTTGGTGAGGCGTGGAGTTTGTGGTGGGTCTTCGATTTGTTTGTACCTTTTAACAATTAAATTAATAAATTTTAACAGGTTGTTTGTTACTTTGTATATCTAGTATAGTATTATAAGTGGAGTCAATGGGTCAATTTATTCTAAGTATTAGAAGTACCAGTTTTTTAAAATAATGGCCAATGAGAGCTTTTCAAGTTATAAATATCAGAGTTTTAAGTTGATATTTATGTTATACATGGTGTTTCATTAGAAAATGTATAGATGTTGAATATACTAGTTCGAAAAGAATGAAATAGCAATTCCTTTGAGATGAGGGAATTAGAAAATGAGATAATTAATAAGAGAATTAATGAAAGAATTGAATTATTTAGAGAATTTATAATTTAGAATTTCTAATTTATAAAAATAATGAGATTAATAATTTTATATTTTAAGGAAGATTTTAACACCTTGTACATTAAAAAAATCCTCAAGAGAGGCCATTTTTTCTTGTTTTTTTTGAAAAATACTTTATAAATCTTTCTAAAAATATTTCTAATATCTCTAATTTAGGGAGAGTATCTTTCTAAAAGCATTTCTCAGAATTAAAAAAATACTTTTTCAAACTTTCATGGACTCCATTATGCATATAAATGCATAAAAGTTTGCAACATGGTCAATTCTATGAGTTGAACAAAGAAAGATTATTAAAATAACATTTAGAGTAAGAAAATTCCAATCCCACAATCGTTTTCTTTTTTCTTTATAAATATCTAATGAAAGTTGTCTTTGTTGCACCCATAGCCTATGTTGCAAACTAAAATGCATCCATCTGTATGTAATTATAAGTACTTTTTTTGTAAAGTATACTTCCATGTAACCCATAATCTCAATTTTTTTCCCAAAGAAAGAAAAAATTTACTGCACAAAATTATATAGTCATTCACTCCATTGAATTAGGTCTATTCAAAAAACAAATTTTATTTGAGAATATGGAGGCAAATATTCTTTCTTATTTTTATAAATCGCATTACTACCCCTCTTTTTCATTATATGTACAATTAACATATAATTTCCAATTACTAATTATGTAACTAGAGAGTCATTCGATACTATCACCAACGGCTTATGTAACAGCTTATGTACATTGCTATGTTAATATCCAAGGAAAATTCTACATAAAAATCCTAGCGACGCGTTTCCTTGCCTTTGGCTTCTCTAACATTTTGCGGTTTCCTACAACTAATATAGGTCTCTTTGGATGCGTAAGAGGAGGGCGAAAAGGACTTGAGCCGCTCGGAAGTCGAACTGATTTGGGAGACTTTCGCTTGAAGTACCTCAGAGGTACCTTCTGAGGTAACTTCCTCATTTTCGCGCTGAACAACCACTTTTTCCCGGGGAGTAGAAGCTTTCTTCTTGTCCTTTCTCGATGAGTAAACACCCGTCCGGCGCTTTATCCTCTTGCAGGATATATTGGTGCTCTTATTCGATGTGAAGGATTCTTTACATTTCAACAACAGCCTGGTGTCTTTAATATTATCAGTGAGAGGTTGCAGATAAGAAATTTTGCCGTTCGGGTTCAAATTTTTCTCGAACGGGATGCAGTCCGTTTTATCCTTGTTCATGTTGGTCTCCTCGATCGTGAAATGGTTGATGATTGCAGATTGTAGCTCCCGTCTGTCAAATTTCACATCGTCACCGATCATCTGCAAGGCCAAATTCATGGGAAACGCCCTCAGTTTGTACAGGTTTTTCTCCAGCCTCTTGAACAGCATCTCCTGCTCTTTGAGCAGGTGCACCTTCTCGATGATGTCCTGCCATATCAGCTTCTGGTTCACGTGGTGGAAGTTCTTTAGCTGGTTGATTTGAGTGCCTTTGCTGGAGCTGATCGGCTTATTGTCCAAATCCAACAAGCATTGGCAACTGTAATCGTTGCGCTTCTTGTAGCCCCGTTGGATCACGTCCGCTATAATGCTGCTAACGATGTTGAAGTTCTCGGGTTGCATGAGTGATGGGTTGCGATAAATGGGATTTTCGATTGAGAAATGCGATATAGTAGTTTCTTGTTTTATGTCTTTTGGTGTTAAATGTGATGGAACTCCATATTCAGGTAAATGATGGTAGGGTTTTTAGGTGTTTATTGATGGGACATTGAGATGGATGTTGTAATGTCAGTTACTACAACTTATTCGTATGTTTTTTTGTAGCTATAGGGACGGATTTATAGGATTTTTTTAGGTTTTTAACATACTATAATGTTTCCTATTTATTCTGGTGGTTTTTCTTACTCGGTTAGCTTCAATGAGAGGGAACGAAGGAGACACTTAGAAATCTATTAAGTGGAAGAAAAAGGCTCAAAGGGAAAGTGAGATTAGTTTCTGTTCTGATTTAGAAGGGTTTAACTCTCTTTAGCCTGCCAATGCATCCCTTATTTATAAGAGGAACTTTTAAGAGTATAGGAAAATCCATTATAGTAATCTTAAGCAAGCTAAAATATATCTGGACTAGGTAATTTTTTTTTGAATTTTGATGTATTTTTTTCATGCTGTCGAAAATGAGTTGTATCATTGTTTTTAAAACCCAAATCAAAGTTCAAAATTTTTTGAACCACGTTACCACCGAAAAAAGTACAATAGTCTTCCAAATAATATTTTTTTTAATGTAAATACTTCAATTTGAAGTGATTTTTCTATCATTAACGCAAAACCCAAAATTGAAATAAAACAAAGTTTAGTGGACGATGCAATCGATTGTATGATACATATTGTGTTCTTACAAAATAAATCAAAATACAAATAGCATGGATAAAAAATCCTCGCTCATCTGGGACAGCACTTGGGCGGCGGCGGCGGCCCGCAAGGCTGCCTCTTCGCCTGTATTTTCTCCACCGCCGACCTGATGTACTTGCACTTGCACGACACCTTCGGCAAGGCCGACGCCTTGGCGTCGCCCAGGAAGTCACCGTCCTCGTCTTCGTCTTCCTCTTCATCGCCTTCGCCGCCTTCGCCGTCTTCTCCGCCTTCTCCGCCTTCGCCGCCCTCGCCGCCCTCGCCGTCCAGCGACTTGAAACACACGCACTTGCACGTCTTCACGGTGGTCATGCGTCGCAGGCAGATCACCCGGCAGCACTTCAGCTTCAGCGAGCACACGCACTTCTCGCAGTCGCAGCCCTCCTCGCAGTCGCAGGCGGCCGACAGCTGCTCGGGCGTCAGCCGCAGCATGTACTTCATGGGCTGGCCCTTGCCGTTCTTGCACTTGCTGTCGCCCTCGAGCTGTACGCAGCACTCTTCGGTTTCCTCCGGATCGGTGCAGTTCCACAACGTCTCCGGTCTGCAGGTGCAGACCTTGCAGTCGCAGTCGTCGCCGCAGAAGCAGGTGGCGGCTAGCTGCTCGGGCGAGAGCCTGATGGAGAATTTCGTGCATTTTCCGCCGCCATTCTTCTTCTTCTTCTTTTTCTTCTTCTTTTTGGAATCGTCAGACGGAGGTGGCGGGGGTTCTTCCTCCTTCTTCTCGGGTCCTTCGTCGATTAGGTCGAGATCGTCTTGCTCGTTGCACTTGCAAGTTTTTACTATGTCGACTTGCTTGGGGGGCGCCGGTTTGCAGTAGCAGCTGGGCTCCTTGGGGTCGGGTCTCTGGCCGCCCTTGCAGCAGCTGGCTATGCCGGCAGCTATTTGCTGGCAGCTGCAGGGGGGTTTTTTCTTTTTGTATTCGTCGCCGAAGCCGGGAGCGGCCTTGCCGCAGCCGCACGGCATTTCGGGCGAGGTACTTCTAAGAACACGTTATGGTATGATGGTATTGTGAGATTAGCAATGCGAATTAATTTTGAAATGTGGATGTGAGAATTTGGTGTGATGGTGAAAATGGGAATTTTGATTTGAGTGACGTTGGGTGAGAAGTGACAGTGTTTGTGTCGTGTTTATTTCGATAAATCTAGTGAGTTATTTTAATTAGTGAGAAAGTGGAGAAAATATGCAAGATTTGTGGGAGTTAATATGTAATTAATTAAAAGCTGGAGAAGAATGAAAAAAATTTTAAATGTGGGGTTGCTCTCAAAAGTGTGATTATCTATTAATGAATTATAAAAAATTGTAGAGAAAATATTTCTCTAAGATTGGTAATTGAATTGAAATAATTTTTTGCTGTGAATAATATTGAAGATTATAAGATTTCTGAAAAGTACTTACATTAAAACTTTTGAGATAAAACGGAATTATTTTCAGCGATTTCTACAAGCTTTAAATCAACTGGCCTAATTAATTATTCATTATTATTACTCATTATTATTACTCATTAAAAATTCTTAAATTTCAGAGGAATCCTTTACTTCGAATTAATGATTTGTTCCAATGCTACATCACAATCGTATTAATTGCAACATTTTTCCATCTTACATATCATAATTTCTGTAATTTTCTTCCTTTACAGTCGCTCGAAATCCTGGAGAACTTCCCCCATCCACTGAGACTGAACCAAACGTTAGAGAAACACGTAAGTCCATTCAAAAATCATAATTTACCAAAGACATTACAACTAATTAGTTTAATTAGATACAACAGATTAGTTGTAATATCTTTGTAATTTACATTACTTTTTCAGTTGGTAGCAATTTATTACTAAATAATCAACAATTGGTAGCCTTATCCACTAAAAGTAACATCACCAATAAAATTGGTACCTCTGTCTTTTAAGTGTTAACATATTAAATTAGCAATAATTTGATGAAAATGCGCGTTATTTTTTAAAAATATCGTTAGTTCCATTCGAAATTGGCAGTAGTTTTACGTGCGTCCTCCGCTCTGTGAATAATGCAAAGGGAACTATACGGCAACGGGCGCCATGAAATATTCAAACCTGATTTACAACGACCGCGCACCGTACCGGTGGTAATTTACAAAACGGGCGTCGCGACGCGACGTCCCCGAGAAGCGGGCCGCAATTTTGAAAAATTTAAACGTCAATTAGGCCGGATTAATTACGAATTACACCGGGGCGAGGGCGATGATGCGCGCTCTTCAGCGCGACCGCGATAAATAAAACACCGCCGTCGATATGTATTTTGTATACAAAACCGCACCGCCGGCTCGTTTGCGTTCGAATTTCAACGCGGGATTGATTTTTCGGCATCGAAGACGGTGGAATTCTTCTTCTCGAAGACGTTCCTCGCCGGGGAGTTTATTATAAAGTCTGTTTTCCGCTCGTTAAATATGCCGCCTAATGGTTCCGGTGTACGGGTGAAAATTTATAAATTATAATGGAAAGAAACGAGGAGCGTTTTATGTAAAGTGCAGCAACAAAAGCTCGCGTTACCTTGGAGGTAATTGTTTTCTTAAACGGGGATTATAATGAAGACGGAACGGTTTTTTGACGGATCCGTTGCGAGACAATGTAAAATTGGAACGGGTGGTGTTTTAGAGTTACTAGGTTTTCCTACAGGGTGATTTGTGTGATAAATTGGATGTATTTTGTCTTTTATGAATATGAAGAATATAGAGGAATTGTACAGAATGTCCCATAAGTTGTATTTTTTATTAGCTCGCCCTATATTTTCACAACAGCAACAATTTTTATTAGGGGCTTTTTCATATAACTGCAGACAAGTTGACAAGTTACAAGTCGACATGTTACAACGTATAACGGGTTAATTCTTGGGTTATACAGGATGTTAATTAATTGAGTGCCGATATATTTATCGGCAAATAAGTTTATATCAATGTATGTCCTACCTCTTAGTTTTCGAGCTACAGGGTTTTACAGTTTTAGAATAAAAATAAATTTTTTATCATAATTTTCTTATTACTCTAAATATTTTTATGAAATTTTGTACACACTTTTTAATTATTAAGGAGCGTTTTTTGAGGCCAAAGATTTTTTAACATTTTTATCAGTGACGTCCGTACGGGGTGTGAACGGAATATGAAGAAAAAATGGTACACCACTGTTTTTTCTGAAAACTAAAATTATTTTTAAAATTTCCCATTAATTTGGAGCAAATTCGGTCCGAAGACTTACTTTCGTACGACGCACCATTTTTGCGTAAAAAAATAAATACTAAAACAATTTTTTCCCAAGATCATTAAGGCTGCTTTTGATATTTTGTTGAAATTTGGTAGGCACCCCCCATGCATGGAAACACTTTTTTTTAATTATAATTAATTTTCTACTATTACCTGTGACGTCCACGTCCGAAATTTCATAAAAATATCTGGAGTAATAAGGAATTTATGATAGAAAAGTTATTTTTTTCTAGTAACACCCTGTAGCTCGAAATTATACAGAATGTCCCATAAGTAGTATTTTTAATAACACACATTGATTTAACTTTTTTACTACTAAATACTAATCTTTATTTCTCCTCCCATTTATAGGTCCCTTATTTTTTACTTTATTTTAACTACAGAATGATATTCATCGCAGCAGTTATTTTCTAGTTCGAGATACGAAAAATGTAGGAAAACTATAGAGAAAATGTCTTAGAAGTTGCATACATCCCATATTTGCATACAAATAATACACCCTCTACTTCTATAACAATTTCTTATTAATATCACTTTTCTACTACTATTCTTTATTTCCCCAACCTGTTTTTATATTCATTCTTGTTCTTTAAATCTAAAGACATATCTTACAGTAATTTTTTTTATTATAATTATTGCTATATAAATATATCACTCTGTATAAACAAGCAGAAACTACCCAATTTACGGTTTTTCTTTCGCTTGGAAAGCGCATGCTTTGCATCCCTCGAACCGGTCGGGATTCCGGCCGTCCTTTCCAGATTTCCTTTCGGTACGGTTGCGAGCGCTTTTCCCGCCTCGCGATCAGAGCGATTCGAAAATTTTCCGCTTTTCATGTCGGTCGCGAAAGTGCGATTCTAGGTCCGGAAATTTGCTCGGGATGAATCCGCTCTATTCGGGCATGGGAAAATTTGTGGTTGTTGTCCTGTGGATTTTCCTGGTCGCCTGCAGTTCTGCCGCCGATTTAAGAAGAGGCAAAGGTAATTAATCGCTTTTATCTAATTGGTTTCGTAATCGATTATCGATCAGACGGGGTATTTTTGTTCGACTGCCGGAGTTAATAGGGCTTCTTCGTGCGTGTAACGAGGTGAGAGGTGACAATTTTTTCCGTGTATTAAAGAGGGTATTTCTAAATTAATATGATCCTTGATCGAAGTTTAAATTACATTTCAACTTGGAATTGCGTTGACGAACTAATTCCAAATTTACTCGGGGACTTTTGAACGAATTTTGGGGAAGTTTTAAATCAAATTCGCGAGTGGGTTGGGGTCGTATAATTTATGTATTAAAAATTCCTTCCTCAAAATATAAGTAGTCACACCCTGTTTATTTTTTATAAGGGTTCAATTCGGGTTTAAAAGGTGCCGCTAAAAATACCTTTTTTTTTAATAATCCAAACATTTCGGATAAAAATAGGATTACTTACGAATCATATTCGTTTTTTCGGTCGTACTAATACGTGAAATTAAATCAGTACAATAAATAATGAGCGTTTCGATTCAATTTAATCAACCGTTTCATACGGAATCGATTTATTAAAAAGCGATGAGAAAACGAGAAAACAGTAATTCAATTTACTACACATTGAAAGGCGGAATCCTGTTTTATTCTTCCTGTAGTTGCTCCACTTTCATTTATTTATTTACACACCGCCGTCGAGTATCGGAACGTATTTTTTTTATCTTCTACGCTCGCTTCGAAGATCAATTATTCATATTCGTGTTCCACGGGAAGACAGCAGACAGCCAGGTTTTCCGGTAATGTACCACTGGATAGTAGGTACAACATCATCCCTAAATTAAAAAAAAATCCCTTAATTGTTAAAGGTGGTGATCAACCCTAAGTAACTATCTTCTAAAAGTTTAATGAGCCACCAATTGTAACTCTCTATGAAATCCATCGAGTGTCCAATTTAGCTCGATTTAGTTATAATTTTTGATGGAATTTTATTCTTTGTCGGGTCCTCTCTGTGAGGTTTTTTATGCTAAGGCCCTGTGTAAATCGGTTTTTAGTCCATTTCGCGGGGAATCTAATAAAATTCGCTAAAAGGAAACAAAAAGATCTTCCAATTGCGAGAAAATGTAATAAACTCGGAGTTTCCACTTTTCCAATCATTTTTCTCGAACGGCGCAAAATAACCGGTAATTTCTAGTGCAAATTGGAAATGGAAAAACTCTCCCTGTCGGCCGGCGCAGAAATTAAACTCGATTTTCTGAGTTATATTTTTAACTGACAAAAGTCGAAATTTGCAGTCTTATTATATACAGGGTGTTATAGGTACTAGAATAATAAGAATTTGCATAAACTTGGAAAACTTGTATAGAGAGAGAGCCGCTTAAAGGGACATAAAATAGATAGGTAATGGATAAAATATGTAGCCATTTGATAATCTTGGTCCTTCATTTTACATCGATTAAAAACAGTCTGTCTCATTTAAAATAATTTATTACCTACATAAAAAATATTTCACACAAATTTCTCTTAAAATTAACAACAAAATTTGAAAGTTAAAATAAGTTGAAATGAATATAATGGTTCAGATAGAAGGACAAAAGGAATTTTAAAATTGTCTTACCATTTGCCTACAATACTCCATCCCGTTGAGCATGATTCACCTTGTATATATTTTTTTCCGCATTAAGACGATATGTATACAATTAATTTTAATTTATGTCCTCATACACATGCATATTTGAAGGGATTTCTAAAAATCCCTTATTGCCCATAATACCTATTCCGTCTTATTGAACTTGGCGCACCCTGTATACGAAATTTCTCTTTTTGTGTACACTTTGTGTTAATTATGCCCGCATATCTACTATGCCGCCTTGTCTAAATAATCATGAATAATCTAGTAAATTTCGAAGCGGGATTTACATTTCGTCCACTCGAGCTATATTAATTCCATTTGGGCCTGTCCTTTCCTAATTAGGCGGTCGGAATTAATCAGGGTTTAATTTAACTTTGAATTATATTACAGGGCGACCTGAAAAATCTTTACTTAAATCTTTTCCACCATAAAGCCTCTACAACTTTGAATTTACTCATATAACACAAACATCTCAATTTCCAAAGGGAATATATACGCAATAATCGTCTGAACGCGTGCGCTGTTACACGCGCAAGTATATGGGCATAAATTACCTAGCTTGTTTAAACTTGTTACGATGGTTTTCCTACGTCATATTTAATTAGCTCCAGCGACATTCCGTACACGAGATATGCTTCTGTGCGGCCATAAAAGCCCAACTACCTGTTTCCCTCGAAAGCTCGCTTCTAAATAAATTACCACGAATGCGGGCGTACTAATTTTGTTGCAAAAGGTTAGTTCTGCGTTAACCAAAATCCACTCTACACTACTTTAGTGAGCCCGTATGATATTGTAGGCTCGTTTTTGAGCGTGTTAGTGATGGAGTTTCAGGCTGATGATGGTCTATTTTTGGCAGGTTCTAGTTGTGATGTAGCCATAAGTAGCGATTCGAGTAGAAACGGAAGCATAACTAGCCCTTCTTATCCGTCACCTTACCCGGCGAAGACGACGTGCACGTACGAGTTCCAAGGCAGAGGCAAGGAGAGGGTGCAGGTCGCGTTCCACGATTTTAATTTGTACGTTCCCAATGGGAATTCGAAAAAGTAAGTCGTTGAATCTTTGTGTTTGATTGAATATACCTACATACATACAGATTGCTTCAATTCAGACCGCAACATGGTCGTTTCTATGAGTTGAACAAAGAAAGATTGATAAAATAACAGGTATCAGAATGAAAAGTTGCAATGACACAAATGTTACTCTTTCTTTTTCCTTTATAAGTGTCTAATGGAAGTTGTCTTTAACCCACCTACAGCCTATATAACCTATGTTACGATCTGGAATGAAGCACAGTGTATACAAAATGTGTTTTTGAATAGACCAATTAGAATATGTTCAATAAAGAGGATCCAGATGAATCAAATGGGGATTAGCATTTTATAAGCGAATTGCAATACAAGATCTTATTTGGTTTGTTCCAAGGGAGCATGTTCCGAGTGTGTTCTGAACATTTATGCTTTGTGAATGTCTGATGGATAGCAAATTTGCTTTGAAAGAGATAGAAATTGCTCTGCATGAAAGGATTGCATTCACAAAAAATTACTTTTGTGACTTTAGATTTGGTTTTTATAGGTGTATTTTTTAGGAATTTTCTAGGAAACTTGGTGCAATTTATTAGATTTACTAAATTAATCGCTTTTTATAGGTGTTTTTTGTTGGATTTTACAAATAAATTTGACTATTTTTAAAGCACTTTATCAAAATAGTCGATTTTGTAAATGAATTAAATTTTACAAGTAACTGACGATTTTTTTGGAATATCTTGGTTTATTAGTTTACTTTTCACATGCTTTTATAAATTTTTTCTTGTAAATTTGATGATTTTTTAAATATTATGTATAAATTAGTCAATTATTTTTAAATTATTTTTTTAATTATTCCATTTTTTAAGTACTTTACTGAAATTATCAATTTTATAGATGAATTTATTATAAATTTGTTTATAAAATTTTTCTTGCAAATTTGAGATTTTTAAACACTTTACTACTTTGGTCGATTTTATAGATGATTTTGCAAGTAACTTTGACGATTTTTTTAGAATATTTTGGTAAATTTGTCTAATTTTCACACGATAAGAGGAGTTTTGTTCCTATTCCTAATCCTAGGTTTAAATAAAGTTTCGCCAACATAAAACATCGATGAAAAAAAAAACTAAACAAATCAACTCAGGCATTTTACATTTTGGAAAACAAATCAATTATGTACCAAAGAACCAATCAATAACATTTCGATATCAACGTTTTTGCAACAATATAATGCATTGTGCCTAAAAAATCTCATATTTATCTCGTACAAAATATACCGAATTTCCATTAACTCTGATTTGACTATCGCATCAGGAACCACACGGGTTCCTTATAAACACTATAACATGCATGTGTTGCAGTTGCGATGACGCCGATTCCTTGGGCGTTTACATCCACATCGACGGTCGCATCGAGAAAATCGACAGCTTCTGCGGCGCCGTGACGCCCAAGCCGGTCATGTCGAACGGTCCCCGTTTGAAGCTCGAATTCCAAAGCTTCCACACGTCCAGGTACTCCAGGGGATTCAAGGCTACCTACGCTTTTATGGAAAGTAAGTACAGACTTCCCATCGCCTGCGGATAGCAGCACATGTGTTCTTGTGAAGTGTTCTTTCTAAAGCTCTGTTATACTGCGACAAACCCACAATAATAATCCGCTCGTAAATAAAGCTCGCGCGGATGATCCGCATTTGGCAATACACCAATTCACTCCCATGCATCACGTTTTTATATCGACTGAACAGGTGGAATGCATTCGATCTTTCGATTTCAGATTTCGGAATAAGAACCGGCAATCAATTGTCTATTTATCCATGTGCCTTCGAATTTAACAGTAACGAATCGAAAGAGGGGCATTTCTCCAGTCCCAACTACCCCGGTTATTATCCGCGAGACACGGAATGCCACTATTTCTTCAACGGGAACCTCTCGGAGAAGGTCCGCTTGCACTTCGATTATTTCGACGTGGAAGGCGTTTTACCGTAAGTATTACTTCTCTTGGAGTATTTTAGGCCCCTAAAGTATTCCTCTGGATACGCCATACACTGTATACTTATAAATTTGTTAATGGTAATTGCAGTTGCGACGCGGTCTCGGCCAGCGACTACGTGGAGTTTTCGAATTACGTGACGAAGGACAAGAAGTTCTCGAGGTATTGCGGGCAGCTGAAGGAGTTCGACGTGGAATCGGACAGGCAATATTTCAGGGTGACGTTTCGATCGAACGACAGGCTCGACGGTACCGGGTTCAACGCGACCTATCGCTTCGTAATGGGCAAGGAGGGCAGGAAGAAGCCGGCTAATGTTTTGAATTCGTCGAATTGGGATAGAGGTGAGTGCGATCGGGGGATTCTAAATGATTGATGGAGGTGATAAAAATCGAATCAAGTGGTGGTGATTTGTATTTGGGTGTGTTACTGATACAATTCTGAAAATTGTTCATGATAATAATATTACACAATTCCAGTAGTGATGATAACGTTTTTGGCTTTGATTAGTTTTGTTTATACAGGGTGAGTCACGCTCAAGGTATAAGAGACACCGTGTATACAGATTGCTCCATTTTTCATTGCAACATAGTAATTTTATGGGGACAATCCGTATAATACAAACGTATTGTAAATACTTTCTTTAATTGATAAACAAACAAAAATGTACTCTTATTTGAAGTCGATAAAATTAACAACTCAAAAATGGGGTCTCAAATTAATAAAATTTATATCAAGATATACCCTTATTGTGATGTCATCTATACGCTCTCGAATTATTGACATCTTTTTTCTGGACACCCTGTATAAAGTTAGGAAATTTTATGAATAGACCTATTTTTTATTTGTTTTTAAAGGACTTTTGAAGCATTAGACTATTAAAAATTTAATTAATTACTATAGTAGATTAGATAATTTATCAACCTACTAATTAAACATATTTAATTGGTAATACCAATACGTATGCACTTTAAATGCAATTTCAGTACACCTCTGTGCTGCACTAGTTATTCCTAATGCTACTACTCAGTTTCAAATGAATGAAAATAATTTAATTGCCTTGTTAATTAAATTAAATGTATTAATTAATTAAGTTGTTTCAGGTACTTGTTTATGGATACTCCTGTGCGTAATTTCGATGACCAAAATTTCTACATAATCATTCGCGATAGGGAAAAGAATCACTAAGGGAACACCGGAGCAATATTTTTCCACAAATTGTTTTTTTTTTCTGTTTAAGATCATTCGTTTTATTTATTTAACAGATCAATTGAGAAATGATACATATTTAAGACTGTACATATACTTATAGTTACTTACGTTATGTTTGTCTGTTTAAATTTGTATCCTATTATTATTGTAAATATAGTATTTTATAAAAGGTTTTATTTATTGAGATGAAAAAATATTAAGGGAATAATTATTCGATTATATTCCTTTAACTATAATAAATGTACTAAGAGCATCCTCCTTTGATTTAGGATGTCATAGAAAAAGTCTTGAATTATCAGTAAAGATTTATTTAAGTTTATTAGGTTACATGTTCTACAAAAAAATTACGGATTACCCATATTATGGTAATCACGATCATTAATTTACGTGCCAAGTTCTTCTATTTATCTATTTTTCTTCTTCTAAGAATCATTTTACTTCTTTCGATACACTTAACTTTTTCAAAATTTTACTAAATTATATTACTATCCTTACAAGATATGAAAGCACTTAACACATAAAACCCCAAACCGTGATTACCCATATTATCGGTTACCTGTACTACAAAAAAGGATTAACTAAACAAATATATTATAAACACATACATATCTTATGAAAATAACTTAAAAACTACAGACACCTATTCATTCAATACGTCAATATATAACTTATGAACCTCTAAATGTAATGGACATCGAAAGATGTGAAAAGTTGATTCAAAATTATATAGCAAACGGCAATTTGTAAGTGATGCCAACCAAAAATGCACAATTTACCAAATATAACACGTCGACTGCAAAACGTTAGAAAACCTACACAATGAACGAATGGTGTTGAACGACATTGTCGGATAATCTAAGCTCGCTCTCCTCTGATCCGGCGAGCTAACTGGATGTCTTTAGGCATGATTGTGACTCTCTTGGCGTGAATGGCGCACAAGTTCGTGTCTTCGAACAGACCCACCAAGTATGCTTCGCTCGCTTCCTGAAAATTAAACATTAATCATTAGAGGCCTCTTCTACTTAAGCTATTCGTCACTAATTAGTACATTTAAATCGATTCACTGAATACAAAGTGTCATTAATAATCGATTTTTCGCTATAAAATCGATGTTACAACTTTACAACATCTTAAGGTTGGTAGTACATAGTTACTAGGGTTTTTTAGGTAACTTACTTGTAGAGCACCGATAGCCGCAGACTGGAAACGGAGATCTGTCTTGAAGTCCTGGGCGATTTCTCTGACTAATCGTTGGAAAGGCAGTTTTCTGATGAGCAATTCGGTGGATTTCTGGTATCTCCTGATTTCTCTCAGGGCGACTGTACCGGGACGGTAACGATGGGGTTTTTTCACACCTCCGGTCGATGGGGCGGATTTCCTCGCGGCTTTGGTGGCCAGTTGTTTACGGGGCGCTTTTCCTCCCGTCGATTTACGCGCTGTCTGCTTCGTACGAGCCATGGCTTCTTAAAATCTACGAGAAAAAGATGTTGTTTGTAATCAACTTTCACACGCAACGTGTAAAAACGCGCCAAAAAAAAATTTACTAAATCGTTATAAGAAGCTACTCGGAATGTAATTTAGTATTATATTACTGCTGATGTAAGGTTAAAATGTAATAACGTACTGTTTTAAAAGGAAATATCATTCAATAAACATTGCATTTGTGAAAACACAACATGGCGGCTAAATATAGCCTGCACAACAAAGAGGTCCCTGACCGAGATCCCGCAAAACAACAAAATATAACAATTTTTACCGGTAATTCACTAATAAAATTACAACCCTTCACTCAAGGACAACATTTTCGTAAGTTTTTAGTATATTCAAACGGTTTTACTTACCTTTTTAACGGAAGTAAATTGACTGAAAAATACACACACAATTTTCACGAAGGCGAAAGTCAGAATGTTTTTTCTCTTCTTCTTCCTCGCGTCGGCGCATGTGCAAGCGAAAATCGGCGCGCGATTGGTAGAAATAAACTGGAACGCTATTGGTTGGCGATGAATTTTCACTTTCGATCGATTCCTCAGATGGCCTGGGATTTTCAAAAATTTGTCCCCTGAATTTTCGGAAAAATCGAAATATTGCAATTGGACACAATTTGAAATTTACTATTTCAAATTTATCCATACAAATACAAGTGATATTTTATAAATAACGCAGTCTCATCTACCGAGAATTTGCAAAAAAATTGTTATTGAATAAAAACGGGTCTATTTTGATAGAAAATGCACCTAGAAAATATTTTGTCGAACTGCTTGCGAGAGAGGTCGAAGGCAAGGCGCAGGCGCGACTTTTGACATGTTGACATTCGCGCATGTCACGTCAAATTAAAAATAATAAAATGGCCCCGAATTCCAATTACAATGATTGAACTGAACAATTTAACAGGCCAATTTCTAATTAAAAATCCGCAGATACGGTCAACGCGAGTGCTAACAATTCGGGCGTCGTTCTAGTGTCGATAGAAACGTTTCTTAAGTGCAGACAAACCGTTTACGAGCAATTTCACAGCATATGTCAGCGACTATGGTAGATGATACAGTAAGCAGTACTGGTACTCCGATGGATTTGAACTATAACATTTCAGCGGATAGTGATTCGATATTCCTTCAAACGAAACTGTGCCAAACCATAGCGGGCCTCTTCGTGTGGGCAGCTCTGTTTCTGACCTGCAGCCAGATCTACCACCACCTCAGGTGGTATACGAACCCTGTAGAGCAACGTTGGATCGTAAGAATTCTATTTATTGTACCCATATACGCCGCCCATTCTTGGATAAGTTTGCTGTTCTTCAACTCAGAAAGCTACTATGTGTATTTCTTCGCCATCCGTGACTGCTACGAGGCCTTTGTGATTTACAACTTCCTTTCGTTGTGTTATGAGTACCTCGGAGGAGAGAGCCACATCATGTCGGAGATCAGGGACAAGCCCATCAGATCGAGCTGCATCTACGGGACCTGCTGCATGAACGGCAAAATATACACCATCGGATTTTTGAGATTCTGCAAGCAAGCCACCTTGCAATTTTGCTTGATCAAGCCTCTCATGGCCTTCATTACTATCTTTCTGCAAGCTTTCGGTCATTACAGGGACGGCGATTGGAGCCCCGATGGTGGATATTTGTATATCACGATAATCAATAACATTTCCGTGTCTCTTGCCCTGTACGGACTTTTCCTGTTTTATTTCGCTACTAAAGACTTGCTTACGCCTTTCGAGCCTGTTTTAAAGTTTTCAACTGTAAAATCTATTATATTCCTATCGTTTTGGCAAGGAGTTGCTTTAGCTATTTTAGAAAAGGCGGATGTTATTGCACCTGTTATCGACAATAATGGAACAAGATCAACTGGTACTGTCTCTGCAGGTGAGTTTATCCAATTCTATTTACTCTTACTAAAAATGTATTTTTTTTATCAATTTAAAAAACGTTTACGATGGGTTTTTTGTTTTATCTGGGATACAATTTATCTTATCTAAATAAAATGTCTACAGAAATGACTAATTCTTTGTTATTTTCACACGTATGTATGAATATTTGCTACATTATTGATTTTGCGATTTAGATATAAAGGTTCGATTGTCGTTTTTCCAGGTTATCAAAACTTCCTAATATGCATAGAGATGTTTTTCGCCGCTGTAGCTTTGAGGTACGCCTTCCCGTACAAACTATACGCTCAAGGATGCAGGGCCGATTCCAGAGGGCGCTCTGTCACAATGCAGAGCATCTCGAGCAGCCTCAAAGAAACCGTTAATCCCAAGGATATTATGACCGATGCCATCCATAATTTCCATCCGCAGTACCAGCAGTACACGCAATACAACTCGAACTCGATATCACGACAGCCGTACGAAAGCTTGTGACAGTCGCAGTTTAGCGATGATTGAATTTGTGATATTCGGTCATTCGCTAATTGGATAATGTACTTAAAAGACATCTCTACTTACCACCCACTGTTTCTAACGAATCAAAACAAGATATTGACTATTGTTTCTTCAACTTATAGCATAAATGTTAATTTTTTTTACTTATAATTTAAGGTATGTATTATATTATCAAATAAAGGTGTTATAAATGTTCCGATCGACTTATTATCCAGTTGGTGTTTTGAATAGGGTTAATTTTTCTTTCAAATTCACTCAAAAATTGTGTATTAAAATTTGATAATTTATTTCAATTTCGGATTATACAATTTATTACAGAAGGTAAAAGCAAAGTTACTTATAGATCTTAATATGTTAGAAATGTTAAGGCAAAATTTTAAATTATTTCATGTACGAGGAAATTTAAAAATTTGCCTCAGTTAAAATGTTAATATGAGCAAACGAGGATAAACGGTTGACTTTTGCAGTGAGAAAAATTTAAATAAAAATAAAAAATAATGTAGGAATAGCATTCAAAGTAATACACAATATTTACTTATTCTTTCAGTTAAAATTCTGTACAGTTTAATGTATTTTTCTGCTTGTTAAAGCGTTGTTTTTGGCACTAGTAAATAGAGAATATTTGAATTGAATGTAAAACCTACAATTACGTCAGTTGAAATATCACAGAAAAAAATATGATATTCACCACCTTTGGTGAAAAATAAAATAAAAATTTTGCCCAAGTAGTTTACGTCATAAATAGGCAAGTATTTCAAAATTTTAGAAACCAAGAAAAACTAATAATTTCTTTCCGAATACTGTAAACAAACGAACGTCAACAAAATACTGACTAAAATAATTTCAATCGAAATTTCTTCAAAAATCTCTCAATTTTTCCGAAAAGAATTTCGGTGAAAAAATTTTGTTCTACATAAAAAACGTATGTATTCCATAAATTTGATGGTAAAATTTTTTCATGTTTTCAATGTAAAAAAACGTTAATTTTTGCAATAGAACAAACATTTCGTGGAAACACTTTTCAGAATATGCGCATTGAAATTTGTAAAAGTAACTAAAATTGTTGGTAAAAAACGATGAAGCACATAACCATTTGAGTCACTCATCACAAATGCTTTTGCGTTCTAATATTGTCTCTCCCTCGGTCATATATTTTTAAATAAATTGTACTAAATTGTGGGTATACATAATAAATATAAGAATATCTTTAAATACTTCTCATCTATGACTAATAAATTGTTAATTTCACTACAATAATGTTAGTGAAAGGTTTAAAAACAAGACAAATAAATAAATATAAATATAAAATATATAAAAATATATCCAAAGCGTATTGAACTAGCGATTTTTCGATGGTTTTAGGGTGGATGTTTACAATTATAAATTTCAAATAGTCAACTGTTAAATTAAATCGTCAACGTAAATATAATTAAACGCACCATTTCGAGTTAGAAATATAAACATTCCAGAAATATTAAAATCACTAATTAAAAACAACAACGCTTAATTGACTGGTACTTTACAGTGGTAATATTATAAACAAATTAAAAATAAAAAAACTAATTTACATAAAAAATAAGTACAGTGCCTTTTTATAAACTAAATTAATATATAATATCGATTTTGTTGTATTTTTAAAATCCGTTTATTTTAAATCGAGGTAACTAATCAGTATATTATGTTTGTTGATAAAAGTGCTCAATAAGTTATCGGCAATACTTCCATAATAAAATAGGATAAATCGCAATAAAATGCCAATACGTAAGTACAAAATAGGAAAACACGTTTCATATTTAGCTCAGTCTGAATTAGATTTGATACAAAAACCTTATTCGTATCGACTAAATACCGCCAATAATAGGAAGGAGTTTACAAACTCCTCGCATATTTGCATCAATTCGAATAAAGCTCGTAATTTCTACAGCAAACAAATCTAATATTTTGAAACCGACAACTTCCTTGAACAATTCTACAACCTAATAAACCAACGACTCGGTTATAATTAAAAAAATGCCGGTAATACGTAAAAAGGAAGTCCTCATTTCCGTTACGTTTTTTTTTTCGGACGCGTCATCTCCTCTTAACTATCGTAACTGGAACTGTTGTGATGGTCGGCGTGCGGCGAAGGCGGCGTCGACAAATTCGAACTGTTATTGCTGGTAATCGAATGTCGTGGACTGCTTCTATTTTCAGTGCCCTGGAAAATTAAATTGTTAATATACTAGGTGTACGAGACCGGAAAGTACAACTACATGGCGCAGTCGTAAACACTATCCTGCTATATGGAGCTGAAAGTTGGCGACTAACAGAAACCGATAAGAAAAAATGGATGCTCTAAGAAGATGCAAATTCTCGAGAGCAGAAAGAATGCGCGATGAAATTAGAGAAATCGTAAACGTTAAGCACACCGTAACATAGGGAATTGAAAAACAATTAACTTGGTTGGGACATGTGAACAGACTGACGGGCGAAAGGTTGCTGAAGAATGTATGGAAATGGATTTCTCCAGAAAAAATATAGCGAGTCCGAAACTGTTAAGAATTCTCGTTCCTTTTCTAGTACACCGCTCATTTTATATCGATAGTAAGGGAACGAGAATTCAATTTTTCCTATACGTTGTTAATTTTTTATGTTACCAAACGGTACTAACTTTCTGGACGCACGGAATACCTAATTAAAAAAAATGGTTTAATTTAAAAAATCAGTACGTTTTATTTGTGGTAGAAGAACGTTATAAAATGTATATTTAGTAATAAAGTGTGCAATTATCTAATCTCTCTTCGATGATTTTAGTCTTTTGGAAGCCATCGTCGTCGACGCAATAGTAGTAATTCCTCATGTCTTTGATGTAAGTTTGGTAGGGTTGGTAGTTGCCGTTAGGAAAGCAAGTGAGGCCGTGATTGTACCTCTTGAAATCCCTGGCGCAATTGCAATTCAAACTGCCTATATCCGTACCGGCGTCGCTCTGCCAAGAGCCGATCTTCGTGCCGTCCCGCCACGTACAATACGCTATACCCTGGCTGACGTTGTAGTTACCGTACGCGCCGTCGCCGTCGCACGTTTTAATGCCCATATTCACGTTGACCACGCCGTGCTGCCTCAAATGCCGTTCGATCATGGCATTAGCGTACGTCACGCTGTCGCACTGCCTCAAATACTGGCTGCCCACTTTAGAGGCCTCGTGACACGGCAACATAACCATCGCCTTTTCGGGCACCACGGGCGAAACGAGCTCGCCGGTGGGCCCGTCGGCGCACCAGCACAATCCGCCGTCGCATTGCAACGGCTCGAAGTTACCCATCGAATCGCAATGCAACGACACGTAATCCCTAACGCCGCTTTTGCCGAGCTCCGCCTTTCTGGCGCTGCACTCGCACGTCATGTCCTGCGACTGCGAGTGCTTGGCCTCGCCGAACAACCGGCCGCCGTTGGTGTCGTAGCACATGCACCGCCCGCCCAGGCCGCCTTTGCACTGCTTCGCCTTCCACAGGCCGTCGTCGCGGCAGGCGGGCTTAAAGATTTGCGCCGAGAACTTGTTGGTGCGGTAGTCCGACGTGTTGGCGTGGTACGCCATGCAAGTGGTGTCGTCGGGGACGCACGCCTCGACGCAATAGGAGCGGGCGTTGAATTTCTCGTTGCAGAAATCGTCGTCGTCGCACGCGGTGTGGTAGTTCTCGACGGGGCCGGAGCATCGCTTCGAGCACGTGTAGCCCGGCGCGCACGGGCATTCGGTGGCGAAATAGCCGTTCGCGTCGTACTCTTGGCAGCTGGGGATGCAGTTGCCGCCCATCCAGTAGTAATACGAGTTGATGTTATTTTGAAGAGCGATGCAATCGTCTTGGGATAGATCGGATACTAAGTCGTCGCATTGTGCACGAATTAAACTCGCGACGCAAAGGACTTTTAATAACCAAATAAAACTGTTCATACTTTTTTAAATAAAATCTACAAGTGTACTAAAGGATTTTAAAACGATTAGATTCGTCTATCTGCAAAATTAATAAGATAACGAGATATGAACGATATGATTTGATTAGTAATTGATAGATAACCAAACAAATATACACAACAAATCCACGATTGATTTGATTGAAATTCAGGTGTAAACGATAATTTACACAAAACAAAACACACCAAGAGGTTTTACCTAAATTATTGTTGTAATAGGGCTGTAATAATGGCTTAAAGATATCCACTGCTTAATGCTTTAAAATACGAGAAGATCCTTTTGAATTAACAAGTTAAGATGCCCAAGTTAGTCAGACAATTTTAAACAACCTGTAAATGGACCTTGAAAACCCAGTGTAGTTTCATTTAGTACTGTGCCTGGACCTCAACGATACCAAATTTCAAACTTCCAGGTGCATTATTAACAGAGATATCACAGAAAGTACCCTCGAACGAAAAAAAAAAATCATGACTTGGTATTATTATCACAGTCTAGTTAAATAAGGGAGAATCCAAAAATGACACTTCCCATTTGAAATAACGAAGTTGACAACCGGTGTACCCGGAAGTCACTTATGGTTGAAAAACTCACAACATTGACCCCTACCTTCCTCCTAAAAGTTCAGATTCCTAACACTTCAGGAATTCCTAATAGTTCTAATGAACATCTACCGTAAAAAAACCCAGTATATGAATCTTCTACAGTACTTCTATAAATTTTCACCCATCGATTCCACCAGAATGGCGAATCGAATTACGTACCTTGATCATCTCGTGCAAGGACGACATACTACCGATGCTGGCCGGATCCGGCGAAGGCGATTTATCAGACGGTTTGGGCAAAGCGGGAGGAAGTTCCCTGGGTCGAGGGGGAGCCGCTCGCTTGGCGCCGTTGTACGATGGAAAGGCCACCCGAATGGGCGTCGGATTGGATATCTCCGGTCGTTTTCTCTCGGCGTGTTTCGGCGGCAACGGGGCCGTTTTCGTAGGCACCTACAACGCATCGTAAGGTAAATAACAGTAATTTTAATGAATAAAACGGCGTATTTTTTAACGTACTCTTTGCGGAGGAGTCGTGGATGTACTGAAAGGGTTGTGATCCGGCAATTGATCCGTACGGGTCGGCGTCAGATCTATCAATCTCTGACGTTGGATGCCGTCACCCGGTCCCATGTGGCTGATATGATTGAAATTTGTGGGAGCGGATATGAGCTTCGATCGTCTATCGGTACTCCTGTGGAACAACACAACGTAATTAAACGACCTTATGCAGGCGATTTCTATTTATTCGCTTACATGCGCTGAGTTCTATTGCCTTCTCGCAACGAAAATCTTCGTCTAGTTTTATGTATTGTCCTACCATCTCTATCTATGGTCACTATATTATCTATGTTGATTATTTCCCCTAAAAAATTGTTCAAAGCTCATTATAAATTTCATACTAAAATATCGCATAAGGACGCCACTTCAGGGTATTTTTAAATGGGAAAACATATGTTCAGTAATTCTAGTAAGATTCAAATTTGGCTTGATCAATTGATTTGAATCTTTTTTAAACTTAATATAGAGACTTCAAGCAATTGTATGTGCTTTTTAATCTCTCCTACTTCATTATATATTTAAGAAAATTTAAACCAAAAACTGCCATTTATTTGCAGTGCTTTTTAAATGACAAAACGTAATTCTAGTAAAACTCGAGTTTCATTGAGCAAATGTATGAATAATTTTAGTAGGATGAAAAATACTTATTACAGAACGATGTCTCCTAGGTTATATTCATCTACAGGACAAATTTTACCAAATTCTAAATAGTTCTCACGAATTATGAATTTGAGGGCGTGCTTTCGCGGCCTTAAATAACATTTTTTTTTCAACTTACTTTGATGTATATTCGATAAATAAAGCAAATGAGCGAGATCGTTTAGTAAACAAATGGTAAGGCTTCCGCTGTCGTTCAACGGTTTGGCTTTCTTGATGTTCAATGTTTGCACCCACTCGCCGGTAGCGCAGTTAAATATATCGATATGAGTTTCGCTATAAACTATCAAATGGCCGTCTCTATAAGCTAAAAATACGAAACGTAAACGTTATAGCGTGTAGGGAAACGTACAAAACGTCAATTTACCTATCGCAGTGGGCACGGCCGGGTACATGATTTCCCTATCTCTCGCTTTTTTACCTTGCCTATCTACGAACGCCGCTAATGTATTAAAAACTAGTAAATATTCGTGCCTCGGCAGCTCGATGACTCGAACGGCCTCAACGGCGCTGTACATTATTGTCGAACAAAGCGAATTTTCCGGATGCAACAAGGCTACAAAAGATGCCAATTAGTTAACGATAAATAGGACAAGATGATATAGTTACAAATCAACTGCTGATCCCCGCTTTGTATGTTGTATACGGTAAAAGAAGAAGGCGAGCCGACGCACAGCCGGCCGTCCGAAAGGAATTGCAACGATTGAACGGTAACCGGCAGGCCGATTTCCCTAATCTTTTGATGTCTAGTTTTAGTACGGGTTATTTCGTATATGACGATTATTGACGAGTTTTGCTGAAACAGAAACGAAATATACACAATAAATTTGCTTCGGTAACACTAGTTTACAAGGTTTTGTGCAAAGAACTTGGGATAATGGGAGTGATGTATTTTGGGTCAATGAACAAAAATTTGTAGTAAAAAATCTATCACGTCACATAACCGAAATAAACTAATAAAATCATTTGTTTTACTGCAATTTAATATCTATGCAATGCATGAAAAAAAAACTACAAATTAGAAATTGTGAGCATACAATTTTTGTTGTTTTGTATGAATTTGGGTCGGTTTCGCCAATTAATGTTCAACAACAGTCTTCAACAGAACCATGTTGGACAAATTAAAGAAACTAGACCCGCTGGATTTTGCAAAATATATTTAAAGAGTTGATTTGATGTCAAGCACTAAAAAGAGAGTAATAACTTGTAAACTAGTAGGTATAATCAGATTCGATTCGACACCGTATCGAGTAGATCGATAGAAGGTAAATCTAAATCAACATACCTGTTTTTTTATAGCAACGCATAGGCAAAACGTCAATGGCGCCCTCAACGCCGGTCCTACAGTTAGAACGGAACACCCTTTACTTTCCGTCACTTTTATCCATTCGACATCGTCCCCGTCTAGGGCCCTTATGGGCACCAAGCGAACTTGTCGCTGTTTACCGCTCACCACCACCAGCAGATGCTCCTCGCTAATGTACTCCAACTGGAAGATTTTCTTGCCTTCGCCTATCTTCGCGACCTGCCAATCAAAATGCGACATTACAACCGCTTAGTTTACATTTACGCGTCGTAATAGTACCTCCGTGCGATCCAAATCGACGCAATACATCCCGTCCTCGGTACCCAAGACGATTCTATCGGGATCGATAATGGCGGCGCTCAGCGCGTTCCTCAACAACGTCAAAGACGTATCGATCAATTCCCTAGCGACCAGCACCGTGGTGTTGGGCAAATTGTTACGCTTCATGATCCTGTGGAGCTCTGCCAGAGCCACCACCCATTTGTTCTTCTCCGCCTCCGTATCGGCCAGCATCAGAGTGGAATTTCTCGGACCGGGCGGTTCCATTAGAGACGTCGTAATCTACCAAACAATTCGTTAATCAGTAGAGCGTCGTATATTTATTAGAGATAGATATATGTAAGATAGAGGAGTGTTAAAGGGGTAAGAGGCCGGTTCTCACCTTAAATATACAAGGTATATCCTTTTTGTTCGCGTGAATGACGTCCAAGTCTTTGACGCTCGACACGCTGAATTGCGGATCTCGCATATCCAGCACTTGGGCCACGTGAACGCTAGGTACGGCATTTCGATCGGCTGATATATCGTACAGGAATAATTTGAAATCGCAAACGACCACGAACTGTCTGATCCATCCTACAAAAAATACCAAACTTGCACCAAACTCGAACTAAACGAAAGTTAATTAAACTAGCGTTTAATTTTAAACTTCGCTTGAGTTCATTAACGTTGCACCATTTATATAAAAGTGAAGAGTTTAGTTAATCTATAATTTTTTGGGGTTTTTATTTGGAATATTTAATGTTGAATACACGTAGTTGTCATTTGAGAAAAAAAACCACAGAACACAGAATTTAGGTTCTAAGTTCTGTATTCTCAGTATTCTGTAAAAAAAGCTAAAATTTAGAAAATAATTTCAAACAGCCCTATAGGGACACAAAAGTAGTTTAATGATGGTCAAATTCCTAAAGAAATAACCTTATGAGAAAATCTAACCCCGACCATATTACAAAAGATATTGCTAATTTTTCGTCTAATTAACTGATTGCATACTAGAGTAAAATCTATTTTCGTTTAAACTGTTCATAAACCATCAAAATTTACCGTTTAATCTTAAGCGAAGATTAAAAAGTTAATTTTAGTTTATATAAGTGGTGCAACATAAGAATTGAATTTAACTTGAGTTTAGCAAAAATTTTAAATGATTTTTATGCATTTTGGTAAATGATAAAGAAACTAATTTTAATAAGTAACTTTTTAAATATTTCCTTATAGTAAACATTTATTCTTCTATGCAAAATATTTTTGAGTATTCTGTACGTTTAAATCCCATTGTCGCAAGAACCCGTTAGTGGTACAGAACAATTTAAATTACCTTTTTTCACGCCACCAGTCTTGGGCACTTTCACGTATCCTTCGTAAGCCGTTCCGATGCCTCTCGTGGGGTCGATGCCGAGCGGTCGTTTCGCTAAAAGAGCACCTATTCCATTAACGACAACTTTCGATTGGAAAAGAAAAAACGAACAACGGGCAGCAAGAGGAGCCCGTTATCGTTTCGTTCGACTTACTTTGATCGGGCGGTACGGGACAAACGGCAGGAACGTGCGCGCAACACGACGTGTGACACGTGAAACCGCAAATCTCGCACACCATTCCCTGTCTCATGAGGCCCACCATCAGCGAGGTGCAATGGCTGCACTTCGTCGGGCTCGAGAACGTCCTCACCAGGAACTGATGGGCCTTGTGCTTCATCGGCGACTGAGGTTCCTGTTGCTGAGTAACAGAATCGATTAGTATCAAAGTCGATTAGTCTGATAATCGATTTAGGCGCATTCTCACAAGTCAAGTTTAGCTAAAAGAGTACGGTTGATCAACAAAAGTTGAATAATATATGCTGTGAGAACCAACTAAAAAGTTCAAATATATTGAAACAAAGATTCTCACCAAAGTCGGTACATTTTAAAATGACAATGACGATATTTTTAGTAATTTCCACGCAGTTCGAAATTTCCCTAAATGATTCTGGAGCGTTCTAAATGATTTTAGACAGTTTTAAATGGTTCTATTCGGTTGTAAATGATTCTAGCCAGTTCTAAACGATATTCGAGCGTTCTAAATGATTCTAAATAATTTTCGACCGGTCAAAATGATTCTGGACCGTTCTAAATGGTTCTGGAGAGTTCTAAATGATTCTGGAATATTTAAAACGATTCTAAATTAGTTCTGAATAATTTTCGACCGGTCAAAATGATTCTGGACCGTTCTAAATGGTTCTGGAGAGTTCTAAATGATTCTGGAATATTTAAAATGATTCTAAATTAGTTCTGAATAATTTTCGTGCGTGTGTATTACAATATTCAGTAAAATTAATACTCACGAGTTCGTATCTTCTCCCGCTGTCGTTTTTCATGTTTAAATTCTACTATTTGTGACTTTTTTTTAATTATAAACATTGAAAGTAAGCATACCCTTAAATTAAATACATCTGTCGTAATAAGTATTTCAATTGCAACTCGGCAACGTTGCAACAGGCTGACTCGTGACGTCATTGTCATTTTAAAACGTACGAACTTTACAAATTTCATTCAACTTTTGTTGATCAACCAAAACTCGTTCGACTAAACTTGACTTGTGTGAAAGCTTCTCAAGTCTCACAATCGATTATTTGTTCGATTACTTACCACACTTACTTCCGATAGATTGCTCTTCGAACTCGACACGCTTATCGCTCTATTGTCTTCGATATCGCCCTCCTCCGATTCGATGGAACTGCCTTTGTACAGGCTCTGAATGGGCACGTTATCGTACGTGTTGATTTGTTGCGACGAGGAATTCGTCTCCTTCAAGAATTGATCCAAGTACGACATTTGCGACGACGGTCTTTCCAAAACTAAATAAAAACATATAATACGATCAAATGGCGTACGGACAAATAAACGCAATCATTCCGATATTATTATTATTTGTTTAAACAAAACACACGATTTACGGTAAACGTCGAGCGTTTCGAATTGTTTCGATCGTGCGAGTAAACGTGGAATCGAAACGCTCGGTTTACCACAAATGAAAGGTGATAAGTCGTATGCAATTGGTGAATGAGGACTCCGCAAGTTCGCGACGGAACGATGCAAAAATGCCGGCATGCCAGTGTGGTCAGAAATCCGCATTAAAAAATCCAAGCTCGATAATGGTTGATTAGTGTCGAACCGATCTTGAAGGCCTTTGGTTTTACATAAACAAGAACAAATTGCGAAGTCCTTATCGCCTGTTAAAAGTACAATAACCGTATAACAGTTTACCCAAATGCTATTGGTAATGAAAAAAAAAATAATTAAAAAAAACGCTATGCTCCAAAAGTCAAAAAAAGGACGAAACAATATATTAGCACTCCAAGCAGTAATAAACAATTAAAAAAAATGTAGCCAGGAGGAATTGCAATTAGGATTTGAACTTACCAGAAATCATGTTCGAGGATTGATTTACCTTTATTACATTCAAACGTGCAATGACCGAATAATATTCACAAACTCCAGATCGGATAAGATAAAAATACGTCGACCGATCAGTGAATACTGTTACAAAAAATGTTTTGTTCATAAAGGAGAAATTCGAAGTAATAAACGTATTATTCGAAAAAAACCGATTACTTCATTCACAATTTATTTTAAATTAACGGCACAAACATTTTTTTACTGAATACTTTCGTGACTGTTGAGGGCATTTTATGAACGGAAAAAAATTGCTATGGTACCGCGCAGCATTCTTCTGCAAAATATTAGGTTTAAGTTTAGGGACAATTCCGATGAGGGAACTGATATACAGTTTTGTGTTATCAAAACCTGTAGGTTATTTCCTACCCCCGTATTTAGAAGTTTTTATAATTAAATTGTTTTGTAACCAACGATTTTATATTTTCGAATTTTAAACACGGCAACGTTGCTTATTTGAATCGTTGGTTACAAAATCATTTGGTTATCCAAATGTATAAAAACACTTCTGAATACGGGGGCCAAAATTGTTCAACAACCAATTGGTTCAAAAACCTAAAGTTAAAAAATGATCTTGTATAATCTAAAATCCACTAGATTTCTGGTTTAATAAAACCGGTACAATTAGAAGGGAAATTGCAAAATATTCCTCCTGGCTAGAAGCAAAAGACGTAGTCGCAAGCATTGCGTATTAGGCTAGAGAGCTAAAACGCTGAGACTAACCCTTAACGTGGCGTTTGATGAACGACGATATTCCTACACTCGCTGCATGTAAATATTTTTATGTCTTCACTAGTTTTATTGTGTACCGTGTCTCGCTTAAATCGCGACGTAACAAGCACTATTAAACAAGTCCGTTTTCGAATTTATATTTAAACTCCAAACAAAACTTAACAATTCGTTATATAAAAGAAATAAAATTCGTATTTTGTAAAGTAAGAGTAAAGAAAATACAAAACAAATCTAAAAAATATCCGTCACAGACTTCAACCTGAGTTGATATGGAATTTGTATAAGTAAAAAATAATAAAGAAATAAATTAAAGTGCACCGTAACTAAGTGTAATCGTGTATTTTTAGCGCTACTGCTTCAACATACTCAAACTTACTTTGTTGAGATCAACTGTATTATAGTGAAATTGGAATAAAAAATTATGCTGCATTTTTTAGATTTGTTAATATATCAACGACTTCTGAAACCTCTTTTCACGTGTAAAAATACCTCTATTCATATATTATATACAACACTGTTTCACACATTATTTACAACAACGAAAAAGAAATAAAAATATTCAAAAATGCCGCGAGAAATAAAGTGAAAAAAAAAAAATTGTTTTCGAGTCGTGTCTTTTAACTGCAAAATCAACCATAGAGTCGCATGTACAGCAACATAATTCCCCAGAAGCACGAAGTTATTCCAATCACCAAGGGAAGATGTTTCAGCCATGAATTGACTAAATACACATAGAAATAATTACCACCCGACTGGGAGTGCTAATATACATTGCAGCCGTTGTTTGCACTAATTTATTGGTCATTTTTATGTGCGAATTTCCAATTATTATCTACTATTATGTATAACGTTACGGGTAAAGTTAGATAAACGACTTAACCTTCCCTACCCTACCCTACCCTATCCATGTTTCTTGGGTATTTTGCAATTTACCCGGGTAAACCTAGGTTTAGTCGTTAATCTAACTTTATCCGTAACATGTACATTTGAACTACAGGATTCATTGACGAGCGGCCATTTTTCATGTAAAAATTAAATTAAAAGTTATTGCTCGCCACACACCGTATTTCTTTTATAAATTCTGGTTTTAATATTTTATTACACCTAAAAAATTCCGGCTATTTTAATTTTATACCACTCGCTGAGTAACAATTTTTTCATATTTTCATTAAATTCCATTTTATGTAGTTACATTAAAACACGATTTGCATGTGGAACATTCGACGAAGCATTCGTAATTTTACGGTTAACTTACAATAATTAACTCAATGAATTGAACAGGAAAAATTCGAGTAAACATTATAAAAATATTACGAAATTAGAATTCGAAATCCCATTCCTCGGTGTCTTACCGGCCGGGAATAGGCGCACTTTCGAACAAATCACTTTTCGAAATGGCTAAACACGCTCCACATACCTGCACAACAATCGAATATTTTGCCAGGTGCGACTACAATAAATATCAATTTACCTTCTAGATATTAAGTGGTAGGAAATTCGATACGATTTGCGTTTCTCGGAATTTATTCGCTCAAGAAAAATGACCAATCTCTGTAGAAATATACGCTATAGTCTATAGTAATGGCTACAATGTCGAGATAGTAACCCTATATTTAATATGCTTGATTTTAATTTTATTTCAGTGTAGTAATGGTGAAAACAATCGAAAAAAATTCGAAATAAAATCAAACAAATTAACTGAAAACGATTCGAATATTGTACGTGGTAAATGTACGTAAAAATAAAAGTAAAAACTTACAGCCTTCGGAGTCCAATCGGTTTTGGTATTCTTTGAGTTGTTTCTCTTTTCGTTTCAAATCGACGTTTAAGGCCTCGTTTCGTTGTCTAAATTCGCGCAAATCTCTAAAAAAAGCACAAAAAAAGTAATATTAGATAAACACTCAATTTAGATGAAAGAGAAGAGGAATCTAAATATTCTTACTTTTGAGCAGCCAATAGAGCTTCTCTAGTTTTGCTTAGATCTTCACTGATGGCTTGTTTAGCTTGGATCTCGCTCTGTAACGAACTTTGTAAATTCAACAGCTCCATTTTGTCCAATTTTTGCGAACGTCTGTTCCTCCAGTTTTTATCCGTACCGGAAACCAAACTGGACACTCCTAAAACAATAATTCAATTAAATCACAATTGAAACGGTACTAATTTCTATACGTGATCGTGATACACATACAAGGGCAAGGTGAAAAGTTCTCGGCCCGGCAATGAAAAATGGCTATTTTCAATTGAAAATTATATTTTATTAAATTATATTATTCTCCATATTAAGTCGATTTGGTTCTAGACATTTCTAATTGATTCTGGGGGGTTTTAAACGATTCTAGAACGTTCTAAATGATTCTGGGACGGTCTGAATAATTATGGAGTGTTATACATGGTTCGAAAGCGTTTTAAATGACCCTAAAACGTTTTAAACGGTTCTAAAGCGTTCTAAACAATTCTTATTTATTATGGAGCGTTCTAAATGATTCTAGAACGTTCCAAATGGTTCTAAAGCGTTCTAAATAACTCTAAGCAGTTTTAAATGATTCTAGAGCGTTTTAAATGGCTCTAGACAGTTTTAAATGATTATGGAGCGTTCTAGATTGTTATAGACAGTTCTAAACGATACAGGTCGAGGACTTTTCACCCTACTCTTATTTATTTATAGTACAAATATAATTTCATATAACTTCTTATGCTTACCGGCATGCTTGAGTATATCAAGTTCTTCCGACATTTTGGTGGCCAGAGCCTGTAAATAAGCCCGGGCGTCCTTCTCGTCGCTCACCCATTGTATGATTTCCGATAGCTGAGATTCCCATTGGCCCAACGCCTCCTGTTTGTTTCTCAATTGCTCGTATTCGGATTCCAAATTCGATCGTTCGGTTTGCAGGCGATTCATCGATTCGGTTAGCTAAAACGCATTAAGAAAACCATCGATAATTTCCCAATAACAGCGGTTTGTGATAGCAGAGCGAAGGCGGCGTTGTCGGGTTAGTCGAAATAAAATAAATATATACGGTTAAAGACCAATTTGAAACCAACACCGAATTTAAAATCGAAACCATCGAGACTCACTAAATTCACGTTAGAAGATAGTTTATTATTTTCTTCCGTTAGAATTTGCTTTTCTTTGTCGTGTTTGCTTTTGAGGTCGCTCAATAATTGCTCCGAATCCGCTAAGGCCTCGCTCCTGGACGTTTCGAACTTTTCCTTCACAATTTTAACCTAACATAATCGTTCATTTACAAATCGCACAAACGAATAACGACGAATAAAATTTCGTGACAAGTTACCTCTCTTTCCAAAAGCTCCCGATGAGTTTCGGCCTCGTTCAGCTGATCTCTGAGAGTGGACAGTTCCATGTTGTATCTCGCTTGTTGTTGGGTTAAATTCTCGTTATACTGAACCTAAAATTAATCATTAATATAAATCTCAATTACCTATTAAAATGTATTTATTTACTTCTAGTTTTTCCAGTTCGGCCTTCAACCTGAGCGAGTCCTGCTGGTCTCTGGGCCCGTGTTCGCTTCTCACTCTCAATTTATCAGACTCGGCTTGCATCTGCCTGCAATACTCCTCCGATCGTTCTCTCAGCTTCCTCTCTTTAGTCGCTTCCGCTTGGGCCTCGTCCACTCGGGATTCGAGCTCGCGTCTCAGCTTCTCGGCGCGCCTGATGTCGTTGCGCAGCGAATCCACCTTCTGCATGACCGTCTCCAGCTCCTCTTCCTTGTCGCGCACCTTCAAAATCGACGGGCGTGAGTAAAACCGGCAATAACGCGAACGATCGAGGTTTACCTGTCGCGAGAACTTCTGCTTCTGTTGCCGCAGCTCGGCGAGCTTGTCCGACACCTCGGCGTACTCGGTCATGGCGAGTTTCTTCTGCGCCAGGGCGTCTTTCAATTCGAGATCCTGGAATTTGAGCTTCTCCTGCAGGTCTTGTCTGTCTTTCAACAGTTCGTCTTTCTCCTGCTTCAGTAGCCTAATTATTTTCTCTAATTCCTTATATTTTACTGCAAAAATTTAAACGTTTTCAAACATCTTATGAGCAGTGTGTTCGATGTACTTACAATTATCAGCACCATCTAACGAATCAATGTGTATTTCCCTGGAATTCGTGGCTTCCAAGCTCCTCAATTGCGATTCCAATTCGCAATTTCGTTTGGTCAACGTATTGATCTCGTCTTGTAAACGTCTCGTACTGTCCGGCGACATTTTCTTCTCGTTTTCCTTCTCGTTGATCAGCGCCAAAGACATTATGTCGCTCCTGTTTCGTTGGTTCTGTTTCTCCATGAAATCCGAGTCTATGTACACCGTCAAATTGCTCAAATCGCATATGTAACTGTAAATTACGGAATGAAAAATTACAGGATAGTGCTATAGCGTGTTTATAGTTACCTTCCTTGGGTAAAGGAAAATCCTACGAAGGGTAAATGCAAGCCAGTGAAGGCGTTATTAGCGGTGGGTGGAAGGACGTCGGATAGACGAATATCGGCGTCGTCGACGTCGAAATTCGACGTGTCGGTAGGACTGGAAACTTCCGGTATGTAGGGAGCCGTGCTGTTTCTCAGTCCGGACCAATCGACGTTCTCGAACCAGGCGTGTCTCTAAAAAAACCAATGCAATATTAAATGCAATTTGAAGTAGACTACAAAATACTGAATCGATAAAATAGTAGATAAAATTTTGCCTCAGATTACTAAAGAAATATCATTGTAAAATCTCACTACTTATAAATTAAAGCTAATTATAAATAAAGATTTTCGTGATTAAAACAATTTAATATTATTTGTTTAGTTTTCCGTAAAACTAACTTCATTAAATCGTTTTATATCGAATCAAAATCAGTATTTATAAGTAGCAGTGTATCGCAGCAAAGATTCGATCGCTTTTAACTTAACAGCTTTCGACCGTTAGAAAACCGCGATTTTTCGAGGACATCCTTAGACATCTACTCGAAACTGTTCAATGTACCTTTGGGTTTACAGTAAAAAGCTACAGTCCGCTGATTACCAAGATTACAAAGGCAAGCTGTGAGTTTTTAATTTTCATCGATAAACTCTCATCACCGGCATTAATCAGAATTTATATTTATTTTTATCTATTTTATTGTAATGCACACATATAATGATAGTTATTATTAGATTCGAAATTATAATGACAAAGGCCCGTATTCAGGGCTAATCTTTAAAAGTTAAACACATCACAATTTTATGTAAAGAGACTCTCTAAATGAGTGTTTAATGTAAAAGAGGGCTGCTGAATGCTCTTGTGGTAAATAATACTAGTGTATTAACAGCTATCATTACATGCTCTTTGCTTGTGCATTGTTAATCCGAATAAATATCTTCTTACCTTGAAATCTTCGATACCATTTTGACCTAATCGAAATTCCTGACTGCAAATCAACGATTTTATCAAATCTTTGGCGGCATCCGATACTTCGACGTCCGTTGGAAAATCGAAGCAATTCTTATGGTTCATTATTTTACCATACGTTTCGACCAGACTCTCGGCGTAGAAAGGCGTTTCGCCAAACAACATTTCGTACATACATACACCTAAAAGTCCACAAAATTAGATCGATACGTTTATTTTTTTATATACCTTACCTAAAGACCACCAATCACACTCAGGACCGTACCTTCCCTGTCCGTCTTCCATCGCCTAAAAGAAGTAAAATTATACTGGAGGCTTAGACAATAAAGGCCACAAATCCTCAACCTTTCAACTACTGGGTGTATTTTGTATTATATTATAAGTTTGTACTTTATTTTCTTATGAGAATGAGGAATTTATAGCCTATACAGTAGGTGCAGTGAACTATTCTTACCCTTAAAATTTCGGGCGAAATATAATCCGGCGTCCCGACGGCGACGTTCGATTGCACGGTACCGTCTTCGTTCAATTTCAAACAACTACCGAAATCCGCCAGTCGAATGTGCCCGTTGGCGTCCAACAGCACGTTATCGGGCTTGATGTCTCTGTGAACATATTTGAGATTGTGTATCGAATCGATGGCCAATACCATTTCGGCAATGTAAAAGCGAGCCATCTCTTCCGGAAGACGATCTTCGAATTTGCTCAACAACGTCAACAGATCACCGCCGCAATAATAGTCCATCACCAAGTAGAGATTCGACTCGTCCTGAAACGTGAAATATATTCCTAAATATTCTCTACAATTAGTGATTGAATGTATTACCTGGAAGGCGTAATGAAGGTGCGTTATCCACCTTCTATCGCCGTATACCAGTACGTCGCGTTCTTCTTTGAAGCAAGCCGTTTCGGCACGCTTCAGCATCTCCCATTTGTTCAGTATCTTCATGGCGTACACCTTTTCGGTGCCTTTGAACTTCACCACGCACACCTCGCCGAAAGCACCCCTTCCAATCACTTTTATTATTTCGAAATCATCGCGGGTCAACCTCAGCGCCTTCACAGTGGCCGCTATCGGTTTTACTGCAAAAAAAGAATCAGCAATGTAAGGTATTTATCTCGATGTAGTTATTATTAATTTCATACATTTTTTACTAATTATAATTGATAATTTTATCATAATACTTTAATTAGGTGTATTTAAATAAACGTATGTTCTTACAAAAATGACAAATTGATGAGAAACTAATGAGAACTAATAAAAATGTTTTAATTTAGTCACATTACTGAATAAACGAGAATTTAACGATATTATTCACTCCGACTAGTTTGTATGTACAAAGCTGAAGATTGTCGATGATGATTAGATTAAATGGGCCTACCGTATTCAATAAAATCCGAAACGGTTTTCTCCTTTCGCAAGCTCGAATTGCAACATTCATCGTACAGCACCAGTAGGATGTCGATGAGGGTTTCTACGCTGAAGCTGTTCTCCTTAGCCAGCAAGGGGCCGCCTAAGAAGAACGAATCCAACTGCTTCAGGCGACTCTCGCCGGACACCCCCTGCATGGCTGCTGCGTTCAATTCACTCATTTAAATTTGTCATTTAGCACCTGCAAATTCGTAAAAAAAATTCAGCGAATTGTTGAAACATGATCAGCAATATTAGTTAATATTGAGTTGATGTTAATATACTTAAAATCTTCTGGTAAATAGATCCCATAAGCTTGAACAAAAATGTATAGTTCATAAGAAAAATAAGTTATTTCTAATTAATATTATATAATAAATTATACTCGATAGTGATAGTAGGGAAGTAGGTTTTAATCATTTACCTTATCCATATAGAATGGAAAAATTTCTAAGACTGGCTGATTAGTCAATCTTTTATAGTTTATAATTACATTGCTTTAGACAAAACTGATTCATCAATGTTTATATTTTTGATAGAAACTGGGAATTGAGAGATGTAGATGCATTCATATCAACTAGATATTTACAAAAAAATATTGCCTTTTTCGCGTGTTGTTATTAATATTATAGTTATTCGAGTAAAGATGGTGCCGATTAATATGTGAATAAAATGAAAATGTTCACGAATTTTACAAAATAAAAACAAGGTTGGGGCTTTTAACACTAAAATGACATGTCAATCAAAACAGAAATGTCACAGGTCAGTTAGCAAAAAAACCGAGTCTGTTCACTGAAAATGCCTCTAAATAAACAATAATATATTATTTAAGTGTTATGTAAATATCGTTAAAATATTCACTAAACAAAAATAGTAAAAAAAACAAAAATAAGGTGAGATTAACCTATATATAAACATTCGCATTAGGAACGCGTGCTCCTTGTAAAATCGCATACTTTTCGCATATTCAAATTCGTAAACAAAAAACTCTTATCATTATCACCTCTCGTTCGATTTTAATGGTGCTTTTTATCACTACTAATTAAAACCATTTCAATACACACTCACGGCGGCCATTTTTCTCTATGAATCCCCCCCACTACGTCTACGTCAACTCCTCGAAATCCAGTCTAGCCAACACAACTAAAAATCGATTAAATCGAAACGTCTATAATTAAAAATCGAATAGTTTTAACGATGACGTTTGATGTTTGACATATATATGTAGTCAATTGAGTTAGGCAAATTCTAAACATTTTTCGTTTGTAAAAAGGTTATTAACCTTCCATTTTAGGTTTTTGAGTAATTTCGTTAATTTCGAAACGTACTCCTACTAAATATTCAGTCAAGAAAAGGATATATGTAAACAATCTATTTATAAACAATTTAAAGAGAATAGCAAGTCATCGAAAATCGTATGAACACAGCATTATTTTAATTATCTGTCATTATTCTCGACTGAGACTGAACTGTGTTGAACGCACGTTTAGTTTATCAAAACCCCTCGAAGAAAATGGAATTATAAGAATTGAGTTTATTTATCGAAAAATTCAAGTGCCCAATTCATTACCGATATATCTATTCTCTTCGTGATTGATAAGAAAATAAGAAATGAAGGTAACGGTAACGACTTTGACGGACTTCATATTTGTGTTGGATGTATCCGAAGACCTGGAATTGGAGAATTTCAAAGCCTTTTGCGAAATCGAGTCCGGCTTCAAAGCCAATGAGATCGTCATAGCCTTCAACGGGCGCCCGTTGATGGACAATAAGAAATCCCTCAAGGAACACGGCATTAGAGACGGTGATGCTGTTATTCTTCAACATATGCAAAGCTCCTCGCAGATGAGCATCGATACATCAGGTAAATATCCATTAAAAACCCTTTTAGATTTATTTAAAAGTTAATAAAGAAAGAGTAATAAAAATAATACAGCTTTTAATACGAGTATCTATTTTTAGGGATTGTGTTTTCTTTCTTTAATAAAGCGTTTATAAAAATAGATATTGTTGTTTCATGCATAGCAAATACTCAAAGAAAGTATCAAGTATCATTTCGTTAGCTCCCTATAATTCATTTGAGTATAAATACTAATATTTGTGATCGATGTAGATATCCGTGGAATACACGTATCGCTTTTCTGCCTTTAATTTTAGCGAGTTTAGATTTCAGCAATATCCACATACCGAACAGCACCAGGAATAGGGTCGAAGACGATCCCGTACTGATCAGAGAAATGTTCCTCGCCAATCCCGACCAACTCGCCCTGCTCAAGCAGAACAATCCTAGACTGGCCGACGCCTTGCTCAGCGGCAACATAAGTGAGCTCTCACCCCATCGATGCCCCCCGATAATTAATCGTCAACAAACCATTTTTATAGATTCGTTCGCCACGGTACTCCAGGAACAGGTGAGAGCCCGTCAAGACCGAGAAGAACAAAGACTGAGGATGATCAACGCCGATCCATTCGACACCGAAGCTCAACGGCTGATCGCCGAGGAAATCAGGCAGAAGAACATCGAGGCCAACATGGAGGCCGCCATGGAATACAATCCGGAGTCCTTCGGCACCGTCGTCATGCTTTACATCAATTGCAAGGTCAACGGCTATCCGGTTAAGGCATTTATTGACTCGGGTAGGTCGTTTAATCAATAGGTCCAGGTCCAATGACGCTTTGTCCTATGACTCTATGTCCCATATCCTAGACACTGTGTCTTAAGACCCATAATGTTCTATGACTCTCTGTCCTATAATTCTAAGTAAAATGGCACATATTCAGTGCCCCACTTTAACCTTAAACACGACTTTAAAGTGTTGTATTAAAGTCGCGTCTCTAACCTGACAGTTATACATTGTTGTTATGAAGTAACTAGGGACTTTGTTTACGTTAACGTGACCCTTTAGAGACATGTTTAAGTTAAAAATGGAGCGCTAAATACAGGCCAATGATTCTATGTAAATGACACTATGTCCTTTGACTCTATGCTACCATGACCCTGCGTCCCATAACGTTATGTCTATGACATGCTCTACTAGTTTCTCAATCTTAAGCATATTTCTTATATGAATGTTGGATTGAATTTGCAGGTGCTCAAACAACAATAATGTCGAGCCATTGCGCGGAGAGGTGCAACCTGATGCGCCTGGTGGATTCCCGATGGGCGGGCATAGCGAAGGGCGTGGGCATCCAGAAGATCATCGGTCGAATTCACATGGTGCAAATCCAAATCGAGAACGTGTTCCTGACGACGAGTTTCTCGGTGTTGGAGGAGCAGCCGATGGACATGCTGCTCGGTTTGGACATGCTGAAGCGCCACCAGTGCTGCATCGATTTGAAGGAGAACATTTTGAAGATCGGCACGACGGGCACCGAGACGCCGTTCCTGCCGGAGAGCGATTTGCCAGACTGCGCCAGGTTGAGTAACTCGGAGGAGGACGTGGTGGCGAGATCTAGAAAAGAACAAGAGGATAAAGATTTACAGGCTGCTCTTAAAAACAGCCAAGGTGAGTGATATGTTTACGAGTTAATTCAATTGAGAGATTAGAACAAAGGTAGTCATTTAGACGTGGATACTGCCTCTGAGATAGTATACGAGATATATTCTGTATTTGTATCTCAGAAGTAGCAATAATTCGTTAAAATACTCTTGCTTGAAGCATAATCTTGTATCAGCAAAGTTAATTGACTATCTGAGTATCGTTTTCAAATTGTATTGTATTTTTAGGTAAGTCGAAATAAAATTCCCTGTCACTAAATTATTGAACTAGCGAAAAAAAAAGACTATTTTGGTAATATAACAATTTCGACAAGGTATCAAATCCTTCGACAAAAATGTACAAATAATTTTGTGTGTTTTCAGATAGAGGAAAACGAACCCGAGATTCCCAGTCCTGTTCCCACAGTCCTAATTGCGTCCACTATAAACGAACCCGAAAAACATCCAATTATTGACTAACGTCATTTGAATATTTCCCTTTTTTTGCGTCATGAATGTGTTGGAATAGTTGACTGAAGTAAAGACATAGTTCAGTACTTTGGCCTTTTATTCGTCTGGTATTGCAACACGCAATACTTCACACTTTCGCAAACCCTTTGAACGCCAGTATTTGTTTATTTTACAGTAACGAATCCGTCGACAAGCCGCCCGAACGCCGCTGTGCAATCGAACAATTCCAATCAGAGCGTCTTGCCATCGGACAAATTCACGGAGGCCGACATCGGCAATTTGATATCGATGGGCTTCGCCAGGGAGCAGGTGATATTCGAACTGAGGCGATTCAACGGCGACAAAACGCAGGCGACGGCGGCGCTCTTCGCCAAGTCGCTGAAATTCTAGTGCTCCAGTGCTCCTCTCCAGCACCGTGACTCTTCCGTGTTGCGCTAGTTGGCCGTGTAAGCTTGCTCTGGAGTGACGTAGATGCGTGAATTGTTATCAGAAAAATGTGATATTTGGTGCAAACCCTTGCGGACTAGACTTCTACGAAAGCACGCACACAATACTGCTTGTAGGGAGTCGGTTAATGGATTACACAGGGTGTTTCGTACAAGAAGAATCTCCCTATGTAGACGGACATCAAGTTAAGTCACTTACGTACGGGGTGGATCTCGATAATATGTGACCAAATTTTGTTGCATTTACACCCTGTAAGTAACTCGGGAAGTCGTTAGGAATTGGGCAAAAACGCTCTGCATTTCGTTTATAAAAGGCAACTTAAAACCTTTTGTGGGTTATTTAGAAACTCCTAAACGTGAATAAATATTGTCTACGAAACACCCTGTATAATTTTAATTTAAAAGAGCACTAATGAATTGCTCACGAATGTGTAGTTATTCTAATTTTATTGAATACGAACGCGAGATTTTAGTTTTTTACTACTACTTATTACTCGTAGGTAGTTATAATTTTAAAGGAATTGGAATTGATTTTCATTTCTCCCTTAGCGGAATTTCATTGATTTTTTTATACGCCTAGAAAATTACACTCGACTTAGATTTTCTATCGTATTGTTTAAAATTATAATTTAAAGGAGAATTAGTTATAAGGAATCTATCGGTACGTAAAAGGTTTGATGGTTACTGACAAAAAAAAAGTTGTACGAAATAAATTTTTAAATAATCGCAGTTTTTTCAACAACCAGAATCCCAGTGAAGTGCTCAATAAATCGATTAAAGCTCGCTCTCGGTCCCCGAAGGACCTCCCTGCATTCCTTTCGCCCTCCTTCCTTCCTGATGTCCTTTTTAATAACAGATGTTGCTTATTACCGACCGCTGCCTTTATGTTCAGTAATGTGGCGGGAAATTGCTCGGTGTTGTTTGCCCATTTATTATATTATCTGTTGGTTTCGGAAGGGGCAGTGATTTATGGGGCATCCCCGCAAGTGCGATGCACGCAAAGGACACAAATGTATTTACTTTATTGGCTAATGCGCTCGCCCTTCGAGCATACACGGGGTGTTGGCTGACGTGGAGAGTAGTAAAGGGCCAATCAAGATGAAAGGGGTTTATTGCTTATACCAAAAAATGCATCGGAAAACCTGAATAATGAAAGAAATATTTTTTTGTGAAAGATAAAACGCGATTTCACAAATCGGCTTTTCACGAAAAAAAAAACTGGGCGTTCTGGGATTGTGTTTATTTACATTACATTACAACGCAAAAGCCCCCAGCGCTTTATGTTCCCGAATGAAGTATGTATAAACTGCACAAGTTCAAATACAATATATTACGAACCGATGTGAATTGTATGAGGTAGAAAGTGCTAGCCTCACAAAGGACTCCATTGTAATGGTAATGCGGCTCCGGTCAGAATTTATACGGGCACAGGATAGCGGCAGGATCTTCGCATTGTCCCGCTTACGCCCCGGGATTACCGCTGTTTATAACTTCTGGCCTATTGTTCCTTCCACTAGTATAGTGTATTCGTTCTTTGTTGCATTGTATTTATATTAATGAGCGGTTAATAGCGGAAAACACGATAAATACATTGTATTAACAGATGAAGCGTGTTCGTTATTAGTTTGCTAGTAACACTATTATACAATACAAGTTTACTATTAAAATTAAATCTTAATTAATTTGGAGATTTTTTTGATAATTTGAGTATTTT